CCCCACTCCGCTCGTTGGTGCTCATTAGAAGAGGTCGACCCTCCATGCTGAAGAACTGGGCAAACATCAGAGTACAAAGCCAGACGCACTGGATGAAACCTTAATCACCCTACATAAATACAGAGCTCAAAATGTCTGAGCATAATGTTGAATATTTAAAATGTTAGGTATCTATGTACAGTCTGCAGTAAGGAAACTCGTCTCTAGCTCAGCAATGCAAAAATATACTGGATGGTTTGGCTCAGCTATGATAGAATATTCACGCTGATGTAATTAGACGAACAGAAATCCAAGTCTGAATACATGATTATTGTTTGTTTCTGTTTGCTGTGCTATCAGGAACAGATGGGATTCGCCTGCATCTATCGACCATGGCGGACGCTTCGGAAGTCAGTGGGCTGAAGGAAAAAATATAAATAATTTCTGGAGCCAGAACAGGTTTGTGTTCAGTGCAGGATAGGATAGAGGCTCACTTTGTGTTTGACTGCTTCTCTGATCTGCAGCGGCTTAAAAGAATGCCTTGCAGGACTCTCTCCAGGTCGGCAACTGCTCCTGTCCATCATCCTCCCTGTCCTGAGGTGGCACTGTGTTGACACCTGGCCTCAGTTTCAGGGAATCCCCCGATTGGTGAGCCGGAGAGCAGCCTTCACCGCCTGTCATAATGTACCTCTCAGATGAAAGGCAGCCTGTGAGAGGCTTGGCTCAAAATAAGCTACTGCTGCATTGTGGGAAACTCCCTATGACTCAGCAACACCCCAGTAATTATATAAAAGTCATTATTTTTTAGGGGTTGCCATGCCACGTCTAATAATGACAGGGTCCTCTCTGGGTGGCTAGCAGTGAGCATGACAACTGGGCTACAGTTTAACTGGAACCCGGCAGCCTGACAGACGGCACCGCGGTGACATGTTAACAGTGATGGCAGTATGGCCACTTCTGACACCCCTGTTCTGTCTCTCGGCCTCCCTCGGCGTGTCCTGGAGATAAACAGCTGATAAGCATCGTGAGAGGAGCTGAGAGAGGTTGGATCAGGCAGACGGGAAAGACGGCCCTGAATCCCAGGCACGGCTCCAGCCTCCGTGTGACATCGACGGAAGCGGCGTTTGAACTCGCGCACACTCAGGTGGGCTCGTAGTGAGCACATGCTGTCCTGAACGATTAAGCAACCCGCCTCAGGGTGTTAAGCTGAACGGTGCCCACACCTTATGCCCATGTTCCACGCAGCGTAACAGGCGATAATGACCCATGTGGCCGAGACGTTCTGCAGAGCACAGTTAATAGAACCTTGTCATCATTACACATGAACCCTGATATGTGACCCTGTCCCTCACATTGATGGCCAAATGTATCTCATGAAGCCTCTATAAACCATGATGACTGATATATGCCACTTTCGCCTTCGGCTGATTGGTCCCATGTCCTGAAAAACTGCTCAGGATAAACCGATGGGGTTCTGTCACAGAGAAGAGCTTCATCCTTGCATCTTCGACGTGGGATTGCTACCTGAAATATCTTTGGTGGATCTATGGTGAAAGGAAGTGCTTAGAGAGAGCAGATGCTCGGCACGGCTTCCTGGTATCCCAGAATTCCTTGTGCTATCATGTGTTCCTTCTATGTCTGTGTCAACCCCTGATAATTCAGAAGCTAGACTTGCAGAGCTGTGAGAAAATAAACCCTCCTTTTCCAGGTAAATATTGGTCTCCTTGCGGAAATAATAAGTACTATGAGGAGCAGTTGGAGCTGATTGGTTAACGGGCTTCCTGCCTGTCCAGCACGCGGACAGCTCTGCTGCTTTTATGGGTCCTGACTGGGTCCAGTGCACCATCATTATGGCACTTAATGTGCAGACCTGCTTATCCGGGCTCTAATCCCATCTGACAGCTTCTGTTCCACGTACTGGGCAGGGGCTGGAGGACCTGTCAAGATGTCCAGTGGAGGAATGGAAAAGTGGTGGAGTTGGGGGACCAAACTGCTCAATGGCCACCTTCGGAGGTGCCCATGAGACAGCCAGCATGGGGGGGGGGGGGAGAGCGTTATGTAACCACACCAGAGGGCCTAGCGATAGGAGCAAAGCCCAGCTCCACCAACACACTGAGGTGGACCAAGCCCTCAGCACTGGTTCTCTATTTCAGTTATCAGTGATGCCATTCCCTGCCTCTACCATGAATATTCATAATGTGTGACCTTCTGGGACCTTAAAGGGAACGTTATTCCTGAGTCAAATACACCTGCCGTCTAATTTTTACCTGCATTAACCCTAATTTCGTTATGAGTGCCTTGATTCAAGCCACTAATGTTCCCTTAATGTTTTCTCTTCTGCGGCATATTCAGCATCTCCACGGAAATTTGTAAACACATCAAAGAGGCATCAGGATTTTGCCCTTAGCATCCACAGTCCTCTGGCCAATCAGGCTCACGCATGTTTTCCTGTGGCAGGTAGGAAAACCAGGTGCACTGGCCTGAATGTGTCCCCCTCAGCCGTATGGCCAGCATCACAAAATACAAACTCCCGTCACCGCAGTGCATGCATCCCCATTTTGGTTCTGCTTCTGTCTGGATTCTGGTTCTATCTTTTCACATTTACACAGCTTTTGAAACACAGGCTGTGCACTGACCTGGACCCCTGGCAGTCCGATCGCTCGCTCGGTACTTTCCGGTGGTTCTGGAGGCATAGGGCTGAAGAGACCAGGAAAGGCAGCCGTCAGCATGGGCCAAATATTTACTTAATTTTCACTCACTGTGGTTCTTCTATAGCATTAATGGTTTTAGCATCAGATTGTTTTTAATGACTTTAGAGTCACTCACTGGTATATAATGTTTTCCCATGCAAATCCCCTGAATACACTCTCAGCCATAAAAAATGCATTATTTAATGAAATCTGCCAATTAGAAACATCTCATTATCTCTCTGTAAAAGAGTCGGGCTTTGCTCAGGGACTGCAGTTTGCTTTACCCTCCATAAAATGCTCCTTGTCTCCTTGACAGGTAGAAACACACACAAATTTTAGTGCAGGCGATCAGAAGATAGGCCACAGCATTACACACAAGTGGACTGTAAGCTGCAGCTTGACAGCTCCTTGGCACCCGGCAAGAGGAGGGGCATCGAATTACTGAACTCCAGGTGGCTTTGGTCCGCTGGCTAGAGTGAGATTTTTTAAAATTTGTGAAACAAAAATGCGCACACATGCACCTGCATTTACATGTATGTAACAGTTATATTCTATAAGGTTTGCAACCTACCCCAACGCAGCTAATTTTAGGTTTATAATGGAAAAATATAGATTTGCCGTAGGATTTCTAGCGTGAGTGCCTGAAGCGAGAGACTTGGCAACCCTCTGAACTGCAAACACCATCTATCATCATCGGTTTTTGACACTTTGACTGACTGAGAAATATGGTTTAATGGGATGTTTAAAATACACCACTGACTGGTAAAAAAAGATGTTTTATATCCAGTTGAGTCAGCAGTTAGCTCCCAAGTCTGTCCTCTGAGTAAGCATGTTTTCAGTCTGTGTTTAAGTTACTGTGGCTTTGCCTCCTCTTCTCCTCTCTGATCTCGTGTTGTAGGGGTGTCCTTCCTGGACAATGGCATCGTCACTACCTGGCAGAGATGATCAGATGAGACACGGGCAGGGGGTCTATACACCTTACCTCTCCTCCAGGGCTGCGTCTCCGCCCTGTCATCCGTCGCCGAGCAACTGGCACCGAGGCAGCGAGAAACGGGTGTCTCATTGCGGAAGACATGCCTTTACTTTCCATGGTGGCATTTCGAAGGCGGAACGGTTTGGTTTTCAGGTACCTTAGCAGCAGCCCAAATTAAACAGTGGAACAAAACAGTCAGCCACCTTAATTAAACACGACGCCCGCTTGTATATTACTTGCTATTAGTTGAAGTAAACCCATGAGCCTTTGGCATCTGAAGACTCTGCAAAGCGTGTTTGTGTCAGATTAATGGGTGATGGAGTGAATCCTATGACAAAGATCTCTTACAGTACCTGTCCGCGTTTGTTGTTCCCTCTGTGTGCATCTTCAAAGATCAACTTAAAAATTCAGCAGTGAGCCAAAATTCAGGAAGCTGTTCTCCATGCTTCTTGAAGCAGCGTACGCTGACTGAATCTAGCTCAGAGAAAAACAAAAACAGAGACTTGGCTCCCAGAAATGAATTTATTGCGCTGAGACTCAAGGCTCGTGCCACGGTAGAATACATCACTGCAGGAACTACATTTGGGAACTGGGAACTTTTTAGGAACTCGAGAACTTCTGTAGGAACTGGGCGTGATTGTAGTTCCTGGGAGGTAGTTCCTGGCCCCTTTTTAATGTAAAATATGCAGAAATATAGTGACAGCGTTATTAAAATGTTTCCGTACGAACAAATTCACAGCCTTAACTGAGCGTCAGTTGCTGGGTCTCAAATTCTGCTCATTTTCTGCCCCGATTCTCCACAGGATGCAGAAAGAGCAGCTGCTTCATTGACCCTGGACAGAGAGGATCTGAAATGTGCAGATACAAGCCGATGGAGACCGATACCAACCTGCCGAAGGACCAGCCCCACTACACCCACCAACATGCAACACATACTGGAAAACACTGGGTATGTTTCAAGTTTCAAGTTTTATTGTCACATGTGTTCAGGGAACACAGCAAAGTTCTTGTAGCACAGTTGCAGGGGAGGGGACGGGTGCATGGGGTGCAGAACAAACAGTATTTCAATACAAGACAAGTGCAATATAAGAATAAGTAATGTAGCATGGGGATGAGGATGTGAGAAATGGCAACAGAACAGTATATAATGTTGATAAAGTGCACGTAATAAACTAAGCCAGTGTTTCCCAACCCAGTCCTCGGGGAACACGGACAGTCCATGTTTTTGCTTCCGCTCACCTCCCAGCACACCTGTACCAGGTTTTCGGTGTTCCTAATTGGCTGGGAGGGAGCAACAACGTGGACTGTCCGGGTTTCCCCGAGGACTGGGTTGGGAAACGCTGTACTAAGCAACCTGATGGCTTGAAGAAAGAAACTGGCTCTGGAGCTGGCAGTGTGGGAGGTTTGGGAGGTGCGGGTGGTGCTGGAGGTTCGGGTTGTGAGGGTGGTGACGCACCGGTAGTACTTTCCAGAGGGCAAGAGTGTGAAAGGTGTGAATCTGGGTGGCTGGTGCCCCAGACGATGGGCTCGGCCCTCTTCTGACAGCAGGAGAGGTAGATTGTTTGGAGCTGTGGATGATCTGTGATGATGATCTTCAAAGCAGTCTGGACAGTGCTTTGCAGCAGTGTGAGGTCCTGAGCAGTTAGGTTACCCAACCACACCATGAACCATCCAGTCAGGATGCTCTCAGTGCAGCAGCGGTATAACTTACCGAGCTTTTGATTTCCACCCGAAAGCTCTTTAGCCTTCTCTGGGAGAACAGGCTCTGCTGAGCCTTCTAGAGAAAGCGGCTAGCATTTAGAGACTATGAGAGGAAATTGGAATTGGGGAACTGAAGCTGCTGACTGCCTCAATGGGATTTCCATGAATGAATAATGGGGAGTGAAGGCCTCTGATCTTTCTAAAGTCAACGATGATCTCCTTTGCCTTGTTGACATCAAGGCAGAGGTTGTTTCTCGGGGCACCTTACAATCAGGTCTTTTACCTCCATCCTGTAGGTAGCCTCTTCATCGCTGCTGATGAAGACAGTGATGGTGGTGTTGTCCGCAAACTTCGCCCAAGTCAATCTCAAGCTTCGCCAAAGTCAATCTCCACTTGAAAATCGTGGTCCGTCCCTCAGTGCTTGGAGGACAGTGGTGTCCATCCAGGGCTTCTAACTGGGATGGGAGCAGACAGTCCAGAAAGGAACACACAAGTCCATGCAGAACATGATGAAGTCTGTCACTGAATCAGCATAATCATCCATATTCATGTAGGACTCCTTGAAAATGGACCAATGTCCAGTACTGAACTTCCCTCACTGCTGGACTTGCAGTTGCCTTTGAATTTGTTGTAGCACAGGTCGAGAGTCCGGTCACCTCTGGTGGGGCAAGTTACATGCTGGTGGTATCTAAGGAGGACCATCTTCAGGTTGCAGTGATTGAAGGCCCTGGTGATGATAGAGATCGCTTCTGGGTTCTGGTTTTCTTGTTTGCAAATGGTGGTGTACAGCTCGTCTGATGCAGCTGCAGTCGGAGCCTCCGATGGGATGTAAATAACAGTGAGAAGCAGTGAGGAAAACTCTGTCTGCAGGGACAGCGGCCGGCAATCGATCGTCAGGTACTCCAGCACAGACCATCAGGACTGGGAAACTGCTTCCACATTGGTGCACCGGGTCATTGCAAATGACAACATACACGCTGCCTCCCTTAGTCTTGTGGGTATTTGCTATGGTGCTGTGTGAGTGGTGGCTGGTGATGTTCTGGGGTTGCACAGCTCTGTCCGGAGTGTTTGGTCCCAGCCAGGTCTCAATGAAGCAGAACACACTGCACTCCAGAAGGTCCCTTTAAAAGCCAGTACAAGAGTGTAGTTTGTCCTGTTTCTTTCCCGCCCGCAATTCCCCCAGGTCTGTCAATGGTTGCCATGGTTTACTAGAGTTGAAGTGTTCCAGACAATATCATCCAGTGATTTGAGAATGTGAGGGTTTCCTGCAACTTTATATCTAATGTCCAGTGTGACGGTCATAAACAACGAAACAAAAAGTCACACGTGTAAAAACAAAAACATACAAGATAGGAGAGAGTGACTCGCAGCGCGTCGCCATGGTATGGTTCCATCATGAAAATGTGGGTACAAGTACAGCTTTGTTGATGGGAAAAGTGTGAAAGTGTATGCTGGCTGTGCAGCCAGTTGGGTGTGATCAGGGGATCTTATCAAGCAACCTGCACAAACCCTGAGGTTTCTTCAAGGTAAATAGACATCTCTGGAAAATAATCATGTTCATACAGATACAGTATAGAACAAAAACTGATCTGCTTTAAAATCCCTTTGCATGCAGCCAACTGCATCATATACAAGCAATAACTAGTATCTTTGCAGGCCAGAAACCAGCTGGACATGCATGTTGATATTTACTGTTCTCTTTCTCTCTGTATAAAAGCCACAGTTCTCATTTTTCCCTGTGTCCTTCACAATCGTTCATCTCATCCATGGGAGAAAAAGAATTCTTGCTAATGTCGCCGCTAAAAGAGGCCATTGTCCCAATCGGAGTCGGGTGTGGCAGGCTGGGACACGGTGAAGATGTCCTGCCGACTGTCCCTGGTTCTGGGGTTGGAGGGCTGGGCTGGCTGCCTCGTCTCAGATAGTAGCCTTAGGATCTCCGCTACCTGGGACTCCAGGGTGGCCAAGCGGCCTGCCAGCATCTGGATGTCGCCCTTCAGCTCTAGCCTGGCCTCGTGCAGGGTGCTGTGCAGTTCCTGCTCGGGGATGGCCGGGCTGGGCTGGTGGTCCTCAGATGGGAGGGAACTCGGCACCTCGCCAGATTTCTCAGTCCTGGTGCTACTGCCGTCACAGGAGTCCGTGCTGCGAAGGGGGCTCTTCCCCCGACTGTCCTGCAGGGGGAGCTCCACAGGGCTGACCCTGGCAGTGCTGTTCCAGCCCCCTGTCGACTCCTCAGGGGATGCCGTAGCACTGCGAAGGCGCATCCAGCCCCGGCTGCTAGCCAGCCTGCTGCAGGAGGGGCTCCGGGCCCCAAAGCAGTCGGATCCATTGAGACTAAGGCTAGGTTTCAGCTCCATGATGTCACGGTTGCTCTGCTTGTCCAACTCTCCGGCTCTGATGTAGGCCAGCGAGTTCTGCATGGGCGTAATCTGGGACACGGTGACCACCCCGGTGTGGCCTTGCATAGGGTACAGGTCCCGATGTGGGTGGAAATGCTGGTCCAGATGGTTCTTCTCCACTTCCAGCACTGCACCCACCTGTGCCCGGAGCTCCTTTTGCTGTTTGAACTTCTGGAAGACCTTCCGGACAGGGTGATCCACTGGGATGGTCAGGGTCACCTCGTTCTTCTGCCGTTGACGCTCCTCCTCCTCTTTCTTCACATCACTGATCTTCCGGAAGATTATCTGAGTGGTGGGACAAAGGCACAGAACGAAACAAGAGCTCACAAAGAACTCCTCAAAACTTCCTGCCCAGAAGAGACATTAAAGGATGACACCAAAACATTAGTTAAAAGTGGGGTTGTGAACTTTATATACAGTCATGGTTGTCATAGCCCAGGGGACTGCAGTCAGGGGTCATGTAACACACAAATGTATTTGTTTTAAAGGGACAGTCACAGGCTGAGGAACAACAAGGCCATCCTGTGTGTCCCTATCGTCAAGCACCATTTACTCACAAGGCTCAAAGCGTAAGATTATGCTACCATTACAGTTTTACTTTAATCTGTTGGACAGGAAGAGCTGACACACCAAAAACAACCCCTCTAAATAAGGTGTCTTGAATGACCTTGCAAAGCTGCATCACCAAAATGTCCTAAACTGATCTGCTAAGTGGCAGAGTCGTCAGGCAACGCTTCTCATGTCTCGTGTCTCCACTGTCAGATGGAGGTTTTAAAAGCCCTCTGGATGTTAGGTAGTCATGGCAGCGTGACCATTCCCAATATCAGTTACTCATGATCAACTACTATTGCCCCTTATCTAAGAGACCAACGACTCCAGTATCTGGGCAAAGGGGATCATCGCTGTCGTACACACAACGTTCATCACCAGTCAAGCTTTTTGGGCCCCCAACCCAGACTAATCCAATTATGTTCCAAATTAGTTAGGGCCCCTGTCACTCAAGGGCCCCTAAGAGCATCCATGATCATCCATGCTCACGCCGCTCAGGCAGACGGGTAAGTAGTCACCGATGCAGTCCTCCTCCTCTACTTCATCCATCTGTTCTTTTACTGACGTCATGGGCTGTCCTGTTTAAAGCAGACAAGCGGCCTTCCCCGCATGCTTACTGACACGCTGTTCAGGTCATGTGATGACTGACATCACCAGTATGCAAGGGCTGGGCATGTGTGTTGTTCCCGCAGTTTCAGAGTCTTCAAATACGGCTCTGAGGATGGGCTGAGCCAGTGGGATCAATACCTCTCAATACTGATTGATTCTGCATTAACCAGCTTAAACAGCTTAAGCAATCTTTAAATCAAGGATGGTTTGTGGGGAAAAGATGCCAACTTAATTTTCAGAAGCATTTCAGAGAGATTCTCCTCTTTTATGGCTTTTTCTTCTCGTAGTGAACACAAATTGCACATCATTTGTTGTCTTTGGGGGGTCTTAGAATTGTGGTTCCACCATTTCTCTAAATTGAATGAAGGAGTTTCACGCGTTTCTGTACCTCAACGCATTTGATTAATCGGAAACAACAAAAAAATACATGTGTATGGTGGAAGTGACTCATCTAAGAGACAGAAGTGTATGATTTTCTGCTGAATCTGGCCTCCGGAACATCCCTCTTAGGCATCCAGCAGAAGTCAGCAAGCAAACTGGGACTCCACTTGCCTTGATACAATTTTTCCATATCAGAGAGAGAACAGGATCCAAATGTGTTACAGCCTTACAGCACTTTGCAATGTTCACAAATGGAAAAAAAAAACATTTTTCCCGAATTAAACTTTAATACATTCATACATTTTTAATAAGAAATTTTATATTACCAACACAGCCTAAAAATGCCACTCGAAAACTATGGTTGATGGCAAAATTGAGTGCATTTCTGAAATCAGCATAAAAACATAAAAAAACACCTGCCTTATTCTTTCTTTTTTTCCAGTGAGTCGAATGAATCATTCCTAATATACTAATATACAGGGTGGCACGCTTTCAGTTTGCCATGCAAGGCTGCAGTGCAGAGCGTCACCCGCAGGGTAACAAGCTGCCTGAGATCAGTCGCCCTGCTGGTTTCCAGTGCTCAGTGATCCCAGGCCAAGCGCCATAATGACGGACCAATTAGGTAACAGCCCATGTGGCTTCACTGGCAGGGGAGGTATCACTGCAGGATTGCAGTAAGCAAGGTGGTCTAATGTAACCACAGTTGAGTGGGGGGGACTCATGAAAATTAAAGTCAGCAGCCACATTCTGGGACGAACAGGCATGCTACCCTCTAGCACCCCCTACTGGCACCCTGCCAAAATGCTCTTCTATCCTCTCAATAGTTTGAACAGCATAATCAGCCGAGTCTGCTTGACAACATGACGTCTGTGCAGTGAGCGTGGCCAGTGGTGAGTGCTCTATGATAACAGCTACAAACCTACAGCATGTAGCACCGGTGTTGCTGCCCCGACAGTGTGAGTCCCCCCCCCCCCTCAGCCCTGACTGACAGAGGCAGAGAGAGCAAAGGGGGAGGACAGAGGGGCCCGGCACCCCAGTGCTCCTGCTGTTTGCAGCTCCATGCAGTGGCGACTGCAGTGTTTCCCACGGAGACGGCCTCTCACTCTAATTTAATGTCAAGTGCTCTGAGCAAACAGCACAGCAGGAGGCCAATGTCTCAAAAACATGCCACAGTGAGTTACGATCCCACATTATCCCTGGCTGACAACAAAAATGGAGGTAAGATTACTAGAAGCCCGGTAATTAATGCTGCTCTTTAATGTCGTCTTGATGTTCTGTCACCCACCGCGCTGGACTGCAGTGACTCTGTACTGTCGAGGGAGTTGACAGAACCCCGCTGGGAATTTCCGGAACCGGTTCCCCTCACCTATGCTCCCCCTATCATCGACTGAGACCCCCAAGATGGAAAAGTGCAACACCCCCAGCTCCCTGAAAATGGGGGGAGGGAGTTGGTGAAATACGGCTCTCGAGCTGTGGCAGGGGGGACCCCCTGACTCTCCTGTGGTGAGTCATCACAGATGTCACAGATGCATCAGAAGTACCTGTGTTTTAAAAAGGGTTCAAGGTTTCCAATCCCCACCCATCAATCGACCCACTTATACCCCGCATTTCTTAGCCCTCACAGCACATTAGACGGGCAATGCGAGGATGCCAGCTATCCTGGCTGTAGTGTGTAACACCATCCACTGCACACACACAGGTGTAAACCTGGGGTCTCCTCAGTGCACGGTGACTCACTGATGAAGACGGAGAGGTGGAGCGGCAGTATAGATATGGTGCTGCACTCCCTGAACAGCATCTGAGTATCTTCTAAACTGACTGGCCCTCATACCTTCTCCTCTATGTGCTACGGGCTCCAGGCTGAGACCCACCGTCAGGTACCGTATCTCCCCCTCCCACTCGCATCTCCATGGGAACACACCTCACTGCATAGTCTCGCCCAGCGACCATCCACTACTGTCACTACTGTTGCCATCTGACATCATTTGCTTCTAAAAGAAGGTCCGTAAAGGTATGTTCTGGCCAGGAAAAAGGCAGAATGGCAATTTCATTTCACCTTGCTTCACAGGGATGGAGAAAGACCTCCACCAATGTAACATGCCATCATTATTAAAACAGCAAGGTCACATTTGAAGCTTGAGTACAGCACCAGTCAAAAGTCTGGACAGACCTACTCTAAGCTGACCTTGAGGTTATGTAATTGCTGCGACAGTTGACCTGGGCCCCCCTACAATCCCAGGCCTGAACCCTATAGAGCTGGTTTGGGATGAGTTGGATTGAAGAGTAAGAGCAAAGCAGCCAACTTGTGCCCAGAACTTGTGGAAACTCCTTCAGGACTGTTGGAGGCAAATGCATTAAAGGTGTGTCCAGACTTTTGGCTGGTACTGTATTCCCAGTTTAATTTCCAGTTTGGGCTATGAAATCCTTCTTGCCATCATTCACTATCCAGGAGACCCAGTGGATGTCCTATTGACACATGTGCCCCTTTATTTGGAAGCAGCTGAAGATCTGCGAGCCGTGGTACGTTTGATCCACATCTCTGTCGCCATCTTTTCCGATACGCTTCGGAGTCTGAGGTCACAGCTCTTCTGAGAAACCATGCGGCAGACACATGGTGACAAAAACACAATCCAAACCCTGTCCCCGGTACCGGGTCATTGGCCACGGCGCCCATCATGGTCAGTAGGGAGTCTGTCCTCACATCAGACAATGCCAACACAGCCAATTAAAACCCAATCACTGCACCATTGGTGGACTGAAAAAACTGGAGAGAAGCTTCTAGAAGGGCTGAGTATTGTAGTACTTAATTGCATAACAACTTGTCTGAACGTGTCTGCATTCCTCTAGTACCCAGTCTGATCCATGCATAACTCTTTTCATTACTGATTCTTCCTGACAAGTGTAACTTCAAAAGCTTCTTCATTATTGTAGCTAAGCAAGTATTTGTGTAGAAAACTGGTTATGCAAGGTTGTTACACAACCACGTACAGGGCACTTATTCTGAATGGCTTTAAAACTAGCCTATAATTGCAATCTTTGTAAAGTTTAGGCTAAATGATTGAGGATTTCCCACGTCACAGGTGCTGTGTCCATTTTCCTGTAGAAAAGAGAGAGGCAACTTCTGAGACAGATTGACCTGCTATGCCCTGTATTCTGGGTACTCACTCAAAAAACTGGCCCAAGTTTTGATTCATTATTTACGAGACGGGAATGGGGGGAAAATGCTCCATCAGTAACTTTGTTCTCTCACCCACTTTTATTTGCTCCTTTATTATATCAGTCTCCATCTTAGTTCTTCCATTGATTCTTGCTACTGTTAGCCGACAGCCTCAACAGCTCTCTGTGCTCGTTTGAGCAGCCTGAAGCATCTGTGCACTTGTGAGCACATCACAGTCTTCAAGTCACACGGACTGCCACCACTCTATGGAGTAAGACTGTCTTTTACTGCAGGAAAACCCCAGTATTTGGACGGTAACAGCCAGGAAAGGGGACCACCTGCTCCCCAGTAATAATGGATTACCTGGAACACGAGGAACTTAAGTTCCTGCTGGCTCTAACTGTTATCTGGCAAACTAATAGCAGCATCTGCTGTAAATCAAGGCAATGAAGTTGTTCAGATACGTGAACAGGTAGTGTGAAAAGTCTCTGCCGGTGCTGGATAAGCTCCTACTTTTGGATTGGCAGTAATTTTAGTCTCATTGAAAGGTGGTTTGTGCAGATGAGATGCCATATGCAGCAGACTGATGGGGACGGGAACAAGGGCACCAAGGAGCTTCTGGTAAGGAGGAGCTTCAGCTAACCTTGTTTAGCAAAGTTTTAAGCCTGGTGTTGCTACATGGGATCATCCCTTATTGAAGAATAAAACTCAATCTGTCACGTTTTTTTCCCCCTGGCCATCACAGAAATCAGCAGGGGGTTCTGTAATAACTCATATCCCAGGGGCCTCTAACCATATTAATGCACCTCTGCACAGGAGAACCCAGGAACTTGTGAGGGTGCTGCTTTGCCGTGTCTGGGCTGGCTCACAGTGTGCTCCCAGGTCCGAGAACCCAGCCAACGCAAAGTGCTTCTTTAATCAGATTCAGGTCTTCATTTCTGATTGCAATGAGCTGAATGAAGTCGGAGGCCTTTGAGGTTAGATCTGCGTTATGTGGGTAGGGAGGGGGTCAGACTGGGTCCTGGATGAAGTGGAAAACACGCCTCAACTGCAGGCCATGAGCTGCAATGAAAACGGTTTTCGTTCCACTTGCACCATCTGTTTGCTCAAAGCCCTATCGAAGTGAATTCATTCCGGTTTGCATGGACGAGGAAGACCCTCTGTACGGCCCGTTGCGGCGTGAGGCCTGGACATGAACCAACCCTGACTGGGGTTTGGGGGGTCGGGCGAACCGTAACAGGGAGGCTACTGGGTGTGTATGTGGCTACAGCGACCACACGTCAGTTTTGGCAGACGTTACTTCACTACCACCACGAGAGAGATGACAGCCAATCACATTCCAGTATAAATATACATATATTCCTGCATTTACTAGCCCTTTCAAAACGGGCTCGCTGGCACTTATGTGACCAAATGGAAACCCTGTTAAAACATGATGGATACCTGAATTACCTCACTAATGAAGGCTCCATTGTGTGAACCCTAAATATGTCACATAAGCCGCAGTTTGTAACACCTCATTACCCTAGTGCTCTGACTACCGATGGTATCACGAAGTCTCTGCTGCCGAACTTCCCTGCTGCAAACACGGGTTTTTGATAAATTACCGTTTAGGGGTGTCATCGATTTTTCTAGAAGGACACAGGGCCAGACTGGGAACAGGTGAAGAGCAGAACATAACAAAATATGTTTTCCTTAAACTGCAGTATACCAAATCGTTGCAGCTCTGCAGGTAACCCAAACACACACAACAGGTAAGGAAAGGTGTGTATGTGTGTGGGGGCTGGGAGGGGCTGGGTGGGGGGGCGTCTTACCCTTTTGCGCAGGTTACAGGTGAGGATCAGGTTTCGGGAGAAGGAGTGAGCGAAGGCGGTGTAGAAGTCCAGCACCTTCAAGAGCGCCTCCCGGTGGATGACATGCAGGTCACAGTAGGTCAGCGCCCGGACGTTGGCGCAGGCGTGTGCCAGGGTGGTCTCCTTCCAGAACAAGTCACCGAAGACGTCCCCTTTGCCTGGTAGGGAGATAACGGAGAGGAAAGAGGGAAAAGAGACAGAAACAGACTCAGCAGCTAATGAGGGTCTGGATAACTGGGCCTCGATCAAGGCTGAGCAACCAATGTCTGCGGGTCTCAGACCCTCCATCCCTGTACCAACCATGGCCTTGTAGTGTCTCTAGCTGAAAGGAACTCCTGTGGTTTTAATGGGAATCAGACACCGTCATGTGCTGCTTTGACACAAACTCGGCTGGTCAACCAAGATGTAGCTCCAGACTGACATGCTGAGCTCATTACAGCAGATGGCTCCGGTGGCGTGTGGCTCAGCGGGTTAGGATCAGAAAGATTTAACTCCCAGGGTTGGCATAGTGATTTTACCATTGGGCCCTTGAGCGAGGCCCTTAACCCATTCGCTCCAGGGACCGGCTGATCCTGCTTTCTCAGTTGTGTGTCGTTTCGGATAAAAGTATCAAATGTAAAGGGATCAGATGAGAGAACTCATTCATCCCACCTGCATGGAGTGCGAGAGGAAACACTACTTTCCTCTTACAAGAAATGACCAAGTCACTGCCCTTATCTGCATCATGGGAAAACCTCCAATTTATTTTTGTCATTACTGAACAGAACCTTCTCAATTATTTTCAGCTGTACTGAGTTCTGCAGGCCTATTTTGGCCATGGTTCCTAAACTAAAATGTTTTGATTAGAGAAGCACCGATTGTACTGGCCAGCTATCAGTATCAGCCATCACAGCATTGGCCAACAGTTAAAAATGAGCCAACAGCCGATTCACTGCCGCTTGGTGATAAATCTGAAAACAATGCAGAGACCAACCCCAAGGGTCTCTATGGAAGTGCTTCCCCCAGTGAGATGCAAATGAATGAAACCCAGACGGATGAAGACAGTCCAGCCATGGAAATCCTGTAACTGTTACACACTGATGTCAACGGCCTCTCAGGTTCTGACAGCTTGTGCATTTAATTTCATGGGCTTGAAAATGTGCCGTAAAATCAAAAGCAAAGTAAAACATTTATCGCAGGAAGAGCATGAGGCCTTGGAGGCCCACCGCTAAGGGAACAGTCCTCTGCGATCCCGTGACTCCCACATGCCCCATCGTGCACAAGATCAACAAACCACAGGTGTGTCTTCTTCACGATGGCCTTTTAATGTCAGAGGAATGACGATCGCTGACGTTGAACTGCCCTTTTCCACACTGCTAGCAGCCAGCCCTCCTGCCCCGTGGCGACACAGACTCCGGGCTGGTGGCCATTAGCGCTGCTGATCGATGTTCTGGCCCGCGAGGTCGACCAGGGCCACCGCTAACAGGTTTCTGATTGATTTGCCAGTGCCAACTTAGCTGCCTATAGCAAGATGCTACACAGCACAACTGCAGCACTACAGGAATGCCAGGTTACCCCCCCCCCCCCCCCCCAGCGACATAACATCAATGGGATGGAGCTGTCTGAGAAAATCAAGTACAGACGGGACATCAAGAGATCTGATAACCAGGCATGGTTGATGAGGAGCAAGTTATGGTGATGTGAGAAACTTATTAGATCATTGGTGACCTCAGCACCTGACAATGTTAGACTTTTCTGCAGTTTCGGTTACCCCCCCGCCCCCCCCCAGGTCAACTGCCATCTGAAAATGGAATATTTGGAACATTCCAGAAATAAGCAATTCATAACTTTTAAATTGCATGCCACAGCATGATAAAATCTCGCGCCGTCCCGTCCGGGATGTGACTAAAGACCGCAGAGTGGATCATTGGGGCTGACCTCCCATCCATGGACATTATCTACCACAGCTTTGCAAGAAAAAAGCTCAGAGCATCCTCAGGGAGCCACAGCACCCAGCGCACTCTCTGCTCAGACATAAACACTCAGCGTATAACCTGAGACACTGCGGGCTGGACACCATCATCACACACAAAGCATGTTTTTATAACAGCTTCTCTCCAGCCACAGTCAGACTGGTGGCTAAAGACATAAAAAAGGGAAAAACATGCCTGCATAACCTCAGACATGCAATATTTCTTAATATAAAGCAGTGTTGGTTTACAGTGTTGTTTTGCAGTGAAGGTTTTACTGAAGCATTATGGTGCAATAATCTCAGATGTGTAAAACTTTTAAATGAAAATCTGTGTTTTATCGTATTGTTTTAACTCTTTCTTTTGTAAGTGTTTTACCGCCTACAGCATAATAACGGGCATTTCACTGCACTTTACAGAATCTCAATATTACTTATTTTTGCACCTGCAAGATTTTTGTTCAAGTGGGTGTTTTGTTGTATTTTACAATATGTACTTAGTACTTAGCTTGTGCCCTTATTACCTCTCCTGGCTTTTAATTACTTCTCTTTACTACTGACTCTATGCACCTGTACTGTCTGTGCGCGTACAAATGGCAAACAAATCTCGAATCATCCTTTTGTCCAGCGTATCCACACCGTATACACTACCCGCCATAGTCACTTAGCAGCCATCTTGGTTATAAGATCGACTGTCGCGGTATCGCAGTACTTGTGTTCAAGAAACCCCCTTTTTTAAATAACAATACAGTATTAGATATTGTTGTTACTGTCTTATTGTGCCTAATTTATAAATTAAACTTTATAGTGGGTATGTACAGGGAAGAACATAGTACATATAGGGTAGATACTATCCCCGATTTTAGGAATCTACTGGGGGCCTTGAAACATATCCCCCATGGATAAGGGGGGGGGCTATTGTACTAGGTGATTCTAAAGTATTTTTTCGAACCAGTCCAGCACGTACCAAGAATGGCGATGACCTCATCGTCCTGGATGACCTCCAAAGAGCCAGACACCACAAAGCACAGTGTGTCCACGCTCTCGCCAGCGTGGAAGAAGAGGTCGCCTGGGGCACAGTGGACGGTCTGGAACTCCACGGCCAGCGAGCGGAGGCAGCCATCGCTGGCCAGGCGGAAGGCCGGGTGTTCATTGAACACCTTGCGGTTCAGGTGGACGCAGATGTCTGCTCGCATGTCTTTGGGGCAGGTGGTGAGTACCTAAGGGGGTGAAGGCAGAGCTGGAGTAAGGGTATGTTCACCATGGAAATCGCAACAAAAGAACCAATCAAAAGCTGCATGCAGCATTTACCCCTTGTCAGAAACGAGGGAATGATCTTGAGCACCATGGGTGTACACAGATCAGCTTTTACGGCAACGTACCAATTTACACAAAGCAACAGCTGTCCACTCAATTACACACAGTTCACAACCACTCATTTCAGTTGTTAAGGGAGTAATGAATCAATTTTAGATCCACTTGTCCAATGTCATCAGAATTTCTTAAAATTCCAGGAAATATAATTTGGCAGGTCTCTGCTTCGCATACTGGTACGCATGCTGCTTGTGAGGCACGCCAGTTACCCCCACGCTGAGTGCATTGCAGGCACGTTCGCTCCATTAAAGCCGTTTATCTGCGTGAATTCCTGTCGAGGGCTCCAAGGCCTCCTGCAGACCTGCCTTCTGTGGACTGGTGAATCAGACTGCTTTACTGGAGCAATGGCAGATTCACGAGCCTACTGTATATAGGGGATTGAGGAGGCCTACATGCATGTACATACGTGTGCATGCCTCTAAAACCATGATTGTATTTTTTTTTTACAGTTTCATATTGACTGACAGGGGCGTTTGATTTAGCCAGAGCTAATCAGCAGTGAGCGACCGGAACCCTTAGGATTCTCACTGATCTAGTCGCCTACCTTTTCAGTGTCGATGCCCTTAGTCATGGCCCAGGTGGAGACGATATAATCCATGACCCTCTCGCTCAAGCCCTTGGGCACCTGGTAGAGTTTGAGGAAGTCACGTGCGTTGTTGAGCACCTCATGGTAACGGTTGGTGTGGGCGTACATTTGCTGGAAGATGGTGGTCACGTTACCGAAGATGGTGGCATACAGGAGGGCTGCAACACACACACATCCTGGTTGACATATGGACTCTTCTTTTTGGACCCTTGTCCATTTTCAAAAACTGGTGGTTTGTTAAAGTTTAGCGCTGCAACCCGTATGACCCAGTGTTGGAAGTTACAGTGGAGCACCGACTGAAGGAAGAGGCACCAATTTTCGCTATAATCTTCGATATTTTCGATATTTCGATATCAGCCACTCGGTATAATCGCACGGCGTTTGCCAGGCTTGTGCACATATTTATGTAAAAAGTTAAATGATGTGCAGATCCCCACGTGTCCCGCTGCTCACAAGTGATGTCAACTTCCGGAAACCATTGCTGCTGTTTGTTTGAAGTTTAACTTTTTTATTTTTCGTTGAAAAAGACCTGTATACATGTATACTGTGACAACTGTGTGTAGATTGTAACACAAGAGTTAACTGTAAGGTTGCCACACATCCGGGTTTCCCTGCATGTGAATTTCCGTTCTACAGGGAGGTCAGGGAAAGCTCATTAATATTCATGAGCGCAGCGCTGCCTGATTGGTCATTGAACGAGAAAATTCATTAATATTCATTAATAATAGATCCCCAGACACGTCTTCTTTTTCATATCACTAAATATGTTATCATAGCGACTGGTCGAGTGCAACCAGGGAAACTCTGCCCAGATGTTATGCGAAATGGTAACGACCAGCAAGTTTTGAATGTTGCAGTTAGAGTCATAGAAAGCGTGATGGATGAGGACCAACACTAAGCTAACACAAAACAAACTGGCCATATCCTTCGGTTTCCCTGAGCTGTTTACTGATAGGCTCCAGACACCGCTCCCCCATGCAACATTACCATGGAAACATGACCCAAAATAGTTCAAAATAATTCTGCCTTTTTCTAACCAAAGAGAAGGGGAAAAACAACAAATTAACACTAACTCTAATGAAGCTGACAGCTGTTTTAGCCACATAATTTGGTCCTGCACTAAATTTCAAATCTAGTCATTTCCTACGATAGATGTGGACAATATCTGCTATTTCAGCACAGTAAAGCTCAGTCACATAATACAAGTAATCATAGGAATGGCCAAGATATTATACGTACAGTGGTACCTCAGTTCTCGAACTCATTAGAACTCGAATTTCTTAAAAGTCGTACTAACCAGTTAAAAAAAAAAAAATTACTTAGAACTCGATCTGAATCTCAGAAGTCAAACCTTGAACGCCAACCTAAGATAACTCTCTCAGCGGAAACAAAGGGTAAGGCTTCAGTCTCAGCCTCGCATTCGCTGTGATAGCATCGTGCATGTTTACACTAGCTGAATACATGTATTTAGACAGTAAAAATACATTTAGACAATGATAGACAGTAACAGTAATTATTATATAATAAAATACATTTTAAAATAAAGATTTCTTATTAATTATTTTAATATGAATAATAAATCATTAATACATTTAATTATAATAATATTGTCGTGCCCAGCGGGACAGAACAGAGACAAAGGCGCAGACGTCAGGGTTTCGGGGAATACGGGGTTTAATTACAGGTAAGGCAGGCAAAACGCAGACGGACAATACAATGACCGGACTGGGGAAACAAACTGAAACGCTGACTAAATACAGAGGACTAATGACAACAACCAGAAACAGCTGATCACACGGGGATTCCACACAGGGTTAACGAGGGGGCAGAACACATGGTTTGGATACATTTATTTTCTTACTTTAAAATGACTGTTTTGATAAATGTGCTTAGATGTGTTTAGTACAGTATATGCTTTTCTTGTTTTGTCCTGTTCATTTTGTGTTTAAATGCTAAAAAAAAAAAAAAATATTTCGGTGTAATTTTTTGGGGCTGGGAACCAATTAATTGGTTTTCCATTATTTCTTATGGGGAAAATTCGATCAGAACTCGAACTTTTTAGGATTCCATCCGGAGTTCTGAACGGATTTAGTTCGAGTTTTGAGGTACCACTGTAATTGTAAGAATGTTTATGAAAATTAGTCTTATGTTGTTATGGTTATACGTTTTTTGTAATAGTGATCTGCTGTCATTTACCCAACCATAAAGGCATTTCACATAAAGCAACTTGACTCTGACATTTTGCTCAAAAACATCACCCCCCAGGAGAAAAAGCTGACGATGGCACATGAGGAGTCATCAAAAAGTTCCATAAAGTCCACGAACAGCAAGTGGTCACATGCCCTTATCCACCCTTACAACAGGACGATGGGCGTAAGACCCATATGGTCACCTTCCAAAGAAACCACTCCTGAATTAAACTGATACTGACCCAAGAACAAGCTCTCTAATCAAAACTGCACTTATTCAGGACGCAATCACCTCATTCCTGTCCAATCAGAGGATGCAGTCTTGTCTGGCCCATTACTAGCCAACCAATCGCTGCACCCATAAGTCACACTTTCAGTCTGGGTATCTTCAATGCACCACTGAATTCTTACTGAAGCATAACTAATGGAAGGGCCTTAAATTCCAAATGAGATCTGTAGGGTGTCTCTGTAGAAATACGGATCAGTTGGGAACGGCACCTGTTGGTATCTGGCCCCTGGGGGGGGGGAACTGATCATTTTAATTATGATCTTCATTAGTCTTTCTGCTTCATCACTGAAGCGTTTGATTGTCATTACGTTGGCATAATAGTCAATTTGACACTATGGGTGAAGATGAGTAAAATATGACCATTGGAAATGGACTTGAGCATGTCAGTATATCAAGTTTGATAAAGGAGTCCAAGGTCAGCATAAGAAAAGCATTGACTGCTGCCTAAACAGAGAATACAGAGAAAGATCAATTTGGGTACAATGGTGGACCGAGGGTTGCTGGGAATCAAACTGTGTTCTGTAGATGCTAGTGCTGCACCAGACGCATTTGGTCTTTATGCAGTCTGTGAGTCTCCCAACCCAACCCACCTGCCCACGACAGGACCGCTGCCATGCCAGGTAACTGTCAGTCAAGTCCAGCCACCTGCTGCATTTGACTGCCACCACTGTCACCCTCGCTGAAAATCTGCCGATATGAAAGTTCACGAGATTCCCAGGAGAAGGATTGCAAAGGGAGAGGCAAATCATTGGCTTTTCATACACAGACCGGGTCGATAGAGAATCAGATCAGAAAGGAATGAGTCAGAAAGACTGAAGAATGGCAATTACAGTGAGTACAATAATTATGGACATGATGAGAGGCTCGCTGCTGAGTGACACCTGTGTAATTACACCCCGGGTAAATATCAATCTCACATTAAATATTTGCCAGCGTAACGTAATTTAATTGTGCTCCTCTTGCGGGTTCTGTTGTTCCTCTGAGTATATCGATGAGATGCAGGTATAGTAACATAAACAGCGAAGGACTGGCAAAGCAGCCACACTGAAGGCTTTGGGTCGAAGGCAGGGGGCACCAAACAGGCTTCACAAGTCGCTGCCCCACTTATTTCCCTCCGAAAAGGTCAGCTTTGCCAACAACAAACAGGGTGAGAGACAGAGTTCCCCAAAAAACAAATATATGCGGTAGGTCTTATTCATGGTATCGAACAGAAGAAATTAAGTGAAACTGACCCTAGCAAATCTGTCTGGTTGTCTGTTTCTGAAAATACGAAGCTCTGACTTTGTTAACTGTAATCACAAGTGGGAACGTTTTACATGAACTGCACCTTCGTAATGCATTCATAGAACATTAACTGTACCTTCATAATGCATTTGTAATGCATTCATAGAACATTCATAGGCAGCATATACACTACTATTCCAAAGTTTGGGGTCACTTAGAAATTTCCTTGCTTTTGAAAAAAAAAAGCAAGTTTTATTGTCCATTAAAATAACAGTGGATTGATCAGAAACACTGTGTAGACATTATTAATGTTGTAAATGACTATCAGAGCTGGTTTTTTAAATGGAATATCTACATACAGTAACTGTACAGAGACCCGTTATCAGCAACAATTAGTCTTGTGTTCCAGTGGAATGTTGTGTTTGCTAATGCAGGTTTATCATCTTAAAAGGTTAATTGATCATTAGAAAACTCTTCTGCAATTATGTTAGCACAGATGAAAACTGTTGTACTGATTAAAGAAGCAATAAAACTGTCCTTCTTTGGTCGAGTTGAGTATCTGGAGCATCAGCAATTGTGGGTTCAATTACAAGCTCAGAATGGTCAAAAACAAATAACTTTCTTCTGAAACTCATCAGTCTTTTCTTGTTCTGAGAAATGAAGGCTATTCCATGTGAGAAATTGCCAGGAAACTGAAGATCTCGCACAATGCTGTGTATCACTCCCTTCACAGAGCAGCGCAAACGGGCTCTAACCACAACAGAAAGAGGAGATGGAGGCCCCAGTGCACAACCGAGCGAGAGGATAAATATATTAGATTGTGTAGTTTGAGAAATAGACGCCTCATAGGTCTTCAACCGGAAGCTTCATTAAATAGTACCTGCAAAAGACCAGTATCTCAGAATGGCCGATGAAAAGAAAAGACACTGGACAGAGGAAGACTGGAAAAAAGTGCTATGGATAGACAGATCTAAGTTTGAGATGTTCGGATCACAAAGAAGAAATTTTGTGAGACGCAGATCAAATGAAAAGACGTCGGAGGACTTGATGACATCTGTCAGCAGTCAGCTGGTATTCTGTGTATAATGGAGTGGCCAGACCAGAGACAGGCAGCAGGCCGGGGACAGGCAGCAGGCCCGGGACAGGCAGAAGCCCCGGAGACAGGCAGCAGGCCCGGAGACAGGCAGCAGGCCCGGAGACAGGCAGCAGGCCCGGGACAGGCAGCAGGCCGGGGACAGGCAGCAGGCCCGGGACAGGCAGAAGCCCCGGAGACTGGCAGCAGGCCCGGGACAGGCAGCAGGCCCGGGACAGGCAGAAGCCCCGGAGACTGGCAGCAGGCCGGGGACAGGCAGCAGCCCGGGGACAGGCAGCAGGCCCGGAGACTGGCAGCAGGCCGGGGACAGGCAGCAGGCCACCGAGTCACACCAAATCACCCTGGGAGATTCGATTCCCTGCTTTCTTTCTGTAGACCAACAGCAGCTGTGAGAAGCTGAGGAGGCACCAGGTAGCATTTCACAGACTCGCAGTCACCTGAATACTTCTAACACTGTTAATTCAAGGTAGTAAACAAGAGCTTAGATGTAACCAAAGAAACATGGCACACAGCAACTTAATTATTCCTGTAATGAAACTCTAGTTACATAATGTAGCTCCAGTCCGTACTCTACCATCCATCCATCCATCATTGGTCCATTCTCTACCCAAATCCAGTAAAGCTTGTCCTTCTGGATATGCAGGTTTTCGTTTTATGCCATTTACCTGGTTTTATTTGTCCACTTTAAAGTTTTTGGTATACTTTGTTTCAACCAATATGCTGTCAAGAAACATTATGACTCGTATGTATCATGTATTAATACCTCTGAAATGTAGGTTACAGACTAAGATAAAGTGTCTGCCTCCCTTCAGTTCTCCAGAGGTAGCATTGGACTCCCCAGCTTAAAGGGAAGGACTCCCCAGCTTAAAGGGAAGGACTCCCCAGCTTAAAGGGAAGTCCCCACCGACACCGGCCACCCCCTCCCCACCAATACTGGCCACCCCCTCCCCCACCGACATGGCCCGGTGCCCTGGCCCAAGCGAGGCCCTGCCCAGCAGTAACGCCCAGCAGGTATGAATCAGCGATCATTCCTGTGCGGACCATTAAACATGCGCCTGGAGGACCTCCAGCAAACCGAATGGCTCGAGCATATTATTAACAAGCTGAGCACATCAGTCTGCCCAGGAACAAACGCGAAGCCGGGCCAGCCGTGACTCATCAGCAGCCCCTACACTAACATTTGTTCACTTTGACACCTCATCAGACATTTTCTTCCCTTGTTTCCCACAACCCCCCCTATTGCTGGGAAATGGGCAAGATGTAAACACACCCTAAAATACTTCCACTCACCCAGACACACATAAACGGAAACTCACTCTAATAAAAGTACATAAATGCAGAGCCCATGACTGCATAGACGACTACTCAGCGGCACCGTCGAGCTCCGTGAGCCCCCATATGCAAACACGCCCACTCATATCGCCGTGATGCGTCACAGCGCACCAAGGACTGAAGCTGGGACATAAAGGGAAGCAAATGGCTGAACGAGGGGGCAACTGAGATCAATGGACACTGATTCAGATCCACATTGATCGGCTGAGAGTCCATTTTGGCTGGTGATATGCATGGTTGGGAATCTCACACGATCTAGGCCGGTCTAGGTAGCTCGCTCCCTACCAGGAGCTGGGCGGGAGCAAAAATGCGGACTGTCTGGCGGTCCTCAAAGACCAGTTTGAGAAACAATGTTCTAGGCTGGAGGTCTCATTTCACACGTCGAGTATACGACGAGTTTATCTGCAGATGGACCGTTGTGGAGGTCACTGGGCTACATTTCCAAACATGTCTGCAGCGTGATGTTTACAGGAGTGTCTCGATTAACCGCTATCAGACTGACAGGCCCTGTGCCTCATGCTACCTTCCTACCTAATGAAGATGTCCTTCTCTGTGTGGCTGTTTACCACTTGAGTTAGATGACCTGAATGAATCAGAACAGGCCTTTGAGACGATCCTTTAGGGTCGGTTTTGGCTGCAGGATACTTAAATGCCCTCGTTCTGTTATCCAGAGTCACGGAAATAATGGAGACTTGCAGCAACGAGGCCAACTGCAAGCGCAGGCTTCCTGAATCCTCTGAGCGGCGAGGCTGATGTTACGGGTGTATTTATTTAAGGACCTATGTTTTCTCATGATAAGAGGCCTGTTGTCTTGCTGCATATAACCTGCGTCTGCTCTTCTGATCCCCTTGTAAACTCAGAATGGTGATTCAGCAGACACTGACTGCTCTGAGGGGCTTCTGCCTGCATCTTCATGTCACAGAACACTTGGGCTACTGCCTATGCCTGCCCCAGTCACCTGACAGGCCATGGTCACGGAGGACAGCTGGCGATAGCAGGGCCTGTGAAGGTGTGCCAGACCAGCAGCCTTAGGATGGCACATCTGTCTGCATTAAGAAGCTGGCAGCGATCTGGGCGCTGTAGAGAACTGCATCAAGATGAGGGATCACAGCCACGATATGGGCTCCAGACCTGTCTATTCATTGATGACTGTATATCCCAGGTCCTGAGTCAGAGAGGCTGCGCAGCACAGATGATGCGAGAGGCAACGAGATGCCCCGACTGGTCACCTTTACTACAGAGTGTGCTCCGGTCGCACCATCTGAGGTACTTGGCTCAGTTCCCGTTTCAAGCATATGCTTCAACTGACCTACTGCCTACCCCCTGATTAAAAGGCGGCTCACTGATCCCCTGCCCAGGAAGGCAGGGCTGAACATGGCTGGAAAATACGCAGAAACGTAATCTGTATATTGTGCATTGGGCTTTCATGTGACCAATGAACTTTGAAGTGAGGAGGGAACTTTAATGTGAGCGACAGGGGTCTGGCTGCGTCTCCACTGTCAGGCAGATCCACCGACAGACTGGAAGTTCACTGTAGTGTCAGTAGCATTTTATTGTTTATTCAATATGGCGGATTTTTTGGTATGTGCTACGTTTTAAACAATAATGTGCGCTATTCAAAAACTTGTTTTACAGATACTGCTTACAAATCCAGACCAAGGTTTTGTTTCAACCAACCAGTTTAGTATAAAGAATCACGGTCAGAGTACTGAGCCAGCTGGTTGGTTGAAACAAAACCTTGGTCTGGATTTGTACTTTCTGGACCTGAACTATCCACCTCTGACTGTTTATTGTGTTGAATATAAGGAAAACTACAGTCTGCTAATGAATGTTTAAGTTTTAAATAACTTTAACATTAAGGAATGATGGCTTTAACTTTACTTGACGGGGTACAAATACTTAGTAATAACTAAGTTACTACTAAAGTACAAATCATGAACTAATCATAAACAGAGTCACTACTTAAAAGATGCCACGATTTGTTAATGATGAACAAACATGAGATCAGTATTTAACTTGTGTTATTCATGTCTTGTTCCTTCAGTAGTTCCCTCGGTAGTTTACAAAAGTTTACAGAATTAACAAATATGGTAACAAACATAGTAACTGCTTGAGATAAAACATGCGGCACGATTCATTAATGATGAATTCACACGAGATCAGTATATAACTAAGACTTTGTTTCCGGTTATTTAGTACATAAGTAAGAGCATAATACTATATAATTTGTGCCCCGTCAAGTAAAGTATGAGCATCTCTTTCTATTTAGGTTATGCTCCTGCTATATTATGGCCGTTTAACTTAAATATCTCCAAGACGATGCTAAATCTTAATGGAAAGGGTTAAAATAAACAAGCAGTACTTCCGTCAGAACAGTGGAATTTCAGAATAAAAGTCTTAATAAGTCTTAATAAATGGATCTAACGTCCTGCAGTGGATTTGTGGTCTGACAGCGGATCTGCAGCCAGACTCTGTTGATGTGAGCAAGGGTCTTCAGTGTGCACAAGAGAGGCCTCACCGAGCCCTGAATATCACAGTGCTTTACGTAGCCCGGAATAGAAGCCTTTTGTGATTGTCGTCAGCATTTACCAGTAATGACTACTCAGTAATGCACAACAACCCTCAGGAACATTTATTTAGGCCTAAGCAGTTGTAATCTCTGAGTAATTGACTGATAACTATTGATTTATTGCGGCCACCATTGCAAATTGAGTTAGAATTAATCAGGTATATGCCCTCCTGTAAAATGTAAATGCATCAGGTCCATTGTTTAAATGTTTCAGGATAACTGGACGAGCGTAGCTGAGGTTTTAATAAGACTGCAGGGCATGCCTGGTTTTACAAGATGATAATGTGACCTAATGCATGAAGGACTATGGTATAAGGGGTTTATCTGCTGTTTTCAGAAGTACTAGTTATACTACCTTGAGGGACCTTCTCAAACCCCAAACCCCATCCCAGCTCTGCCCCTGGGATGTGGCATGCTGGTATGCTGCCCCCATGTGGACGGAAGTGGAGTGACAGCCACTTTGCCACCCTGACTCTGATCCCCCCCCCCCACCACAGAGTAATTATCATCCCCTCAGGAGCCACCCGAATAAGCCCCGAAAGAAGGTGGAAGGAGAAAATAAAGTGGTATTTACAGCCAATCATCATCATGACCACGGAGAAGATCTTCTCGCCGTCGGTGGTGGGCGCGATGTTGCCGAAGCCGATGGTGGTGAGGCTGGTCATGGCGAAGTAGAGCGAGGTGATGTAGAGGGAGTCCTTGCTGGGGCCGCCCTCCCACCTGCCCGAGCCGCTGGAGTTGTAGCGGTAGGGTGAGCCGATGCTGAGGGCCAACTGGTACAGCCAGCTGTCCTGCTTGATGGCGTTGGTGTCTTCGTCGATGACCTCGTAGTCGCCGATGCTGTACCAGATGCAGGCCAGCCAGTGGGCCACCAGGCCAAACACGCACACCAGCAGCACCAGCACTGCCGCTCCGTACTCCATGTAGTGGTCCAACTTGCGGGCCACTCGGCCCAGCCGGAGCAACCGGACCACCTTCAGGGAGCTGAACAGGCTGCTCATACCCTGTGGGGGAGTAAGCGTGAGGTCACATGGTCAGTGTCAACTGACAGCGCAGCACAGAGAGTAGAGGACAGCGCTCACACATCCACCTACACGCACACTAGAATCACTGGGTGAATAATGAGCCATTTACCGGATCTCACCCTTCCAGTCCTTCCTGTACCAGTGCGATTACAGCCTGCAATGTTTGAGCCCAGTGTGTGAGCTGGGCTTTGAGTTGCTCCAGATCCCTGCATGAAGGCGCATTCCAAGGGTAAATTAAATTTACTGGCTGCAGCCTCACTGAGACAGCCAAATTATAAATAGTACCCAGCATGCATCTGGCTCATGTAGCGCAGCTCGAGCCAGCTCCCAGCATGCCTCAAACCTGCGCATGTCCTGTACAGCTGACATAGAGAGTGCCAACATGTGGCTGTTTCACTGACGTACACAGGCCATGCTTGGATATCTATGGCCCCCACACACGCACGGACACACACGCTGTCTCTCTAAACAGAGACACATCACATCATTATAGCACTAAAATTCTTTTTGTCTCAGCTGGATTTGAAGATGTCCTACATCCCATTAACTTCATGGAACAGGTCCGTCCTCCATATTCACTGCCAGATGGCCCCATTATGTCTAAACTCTGCCTTTTGCCGCTATTGTCTGAGATGGCTTATGCTCTTGTGAACTATTTCTCCGTAAGTGCTGATGTCTGGCTAGGCAGGCCTAGAAAATTGGACTGAAATGGTAGTTTTTTTTTTTTTTTTTTTGGTCGTTATGGGATTCCCAGACAATCGTCAGCACCGTCCTCCTTGTTAATTTGTGGATCAAACTGTGGACAGGTAGTGATCACACTGCAATTCTGCCCAAGGACCAGAACCAGACTAGGGCGCTGCATGCTGGGAAACATTTGCACTCTCTTCATGTCCACCAAGGCTGTAGCGTGAAGCCGCTAAACAATGTGCATGACGGCACCAGTCAACCACAGCTGAAGCGGAGCCTCACCTATCCTACTCTCCCATAATCAGTGCACTATATTTGCCCCATTATCCTAAGTGGCGGCAACGTCGAGCAGACAAAGTGGGGACAGACAATAGCTTTGTGCTAACATCTAATTAATGCTTGAACGGGAAGGCCCAGGGGCACGGTTAAGACAGCACAACGCTCCACATTTAGCCTAAGACTCACAAAACAGCGTGCAGGCTATGAGTGCTTCTACAGCGGCTCTTAATTACCACGCACCCATTTAATCTTGAGACATACGCGACGCGGGGATTTGTTGTAGATGCCCCTGCTATCGTTGCTGAAAATGGCTGAAGGACGTGCAGCCTCAACAGGCCGCCTCACCACTCTCTCTCACGCGAGCATCCTCTGGGCACGTGCCACGGGTGACTTCTCACGCCACTCAGGTGCGGCCAGGACTAACAAGCATTTAAGCATGGCGGGCCACGGGGCGAATGTGCCAGACGCACAAAGGGAAGATCGGCCAATCGGCCGTACCGGGGCTGTTAAGTACGCCAAGGTAATGAATCTGAACTGATTGGACGAGGACTGAGATGAAGAGCTTGCCATGGGTCAGGAGATCTAGAAATAACCTAGCATGATGACCCTCGGCATGGCCGCCAGCATATCAGGCATGTCTGCATCTGGGCAGATGAAGGTGACTTTGCCGCTTCATCATGTTGCTCTCGGTGCACAGCTCAGGCAGACCTGTCGCTCTTGCTGGCTTTCTTTCGTATGATGTCTGTCTAGGTCAGGGGTGGGCAGTCCTTTCTGCAAAAGGCCGGTGTGTGTGCAGGTTTTTGGGATGACCTTTAGGTCAGCTGTTCAAACGCAGGTGTGAGGACGCTTCAGCCAATCAGTCCTCTAATTAGTGATCTAATTAAGGAGTTGCAGTGAAAACCCATGTACCCAATAGCCCTTTCTGGATAGTATTTGTCTAGGTTAATACCAGCTGAGATGAGCAGAGCAGGGCAGGGCTGCCACGCAGTCACACCTGTTACATACACACATTTGCTGCATTTCCAGCTTCCCCAACCATGCTCAGCCTGTGACCTGTAGGCTCCCTGCAAGCCTAATCCCCCTGTGGCTCTTCATTGAGATTGATGGTTCAGGTCCAGAAAGTAAAAATCCAGAACAGGATTTTGTTTCAACCAACCAGTTGAGTATGAAGAGTCATAGTAATAAGAGGGATTGACATAACTGGTACACAAGTATGCATTCACCTTAAAAAACAATACGTGCGGCAATCGATTGTTGTAACAGCGTGGATGCGTACGTATTTTTTGTGTGTATTTTATGTCATATTGGCGTAAATGCACATTACCCCTGGTCATGGAGTACTCAACTCGTTGGTTGAAACAATATCCTGCTCTGGATTTTTACTTTCTGGACCTGAACTATCCACCTCTGGTTCTTCACATCCTTGCTCAGCATTATGGGACTCTGGCAGCCTGACTCAGCAGCACAGTGTTGTCATATTAGTATTTCCATTGTTTTCCCAAGGATCACTGCATCCAAACAGTCACTCTATGCTGCATTATAATCAACACCTTGTTCGGCTGCCGCGTTTCTGAGGACATGCAGACGTACGTGGGCAGCTTCAGCTGTATCACTAAGGGAACGATCTGCTGTGAAAAGCAGCATGTAAACACACACAGGCAGGCTTCCAAAAACAGAATATCAGACACAGGCTCTGAGCAACGACCAGATGGGAAACGACCTGCACTGAGCATAGCTGGCAAAAACGGCCCTCATATATGAAGAGCAGAACTCTCCTTAAGCATCGTCAATTGGCCGGTTTGCTGGTGTCCATACAAAGGAGCCACGCCGGGCCCTGGCACAGCGGGGGGGCGGAGCTGCTCCTCTGCAGGAGGTCCTAGCTGGGGCTCCGCAGGGAACAGTGGCTTCCAGTTGCCACAGTGTTTGATCGTATTGATTTCCCATGAGCCTCTGCACTCCATGACATCTGTCTGCGTTTCCTGAAGGCTCCTTTTCGACACAGCGGGTTTCCGGGGGCACGAAGGGGGGGAGAGAATGGACTCCATGATGACCAGCTCTTTCTTTCTCTCTCTCTCTCTCTATCAGTCTCTCTTTCCCCAACTGTCTCTCCCTTGGTTTCTCTTCTCAGTCCACATTTGTGCTGCTGTCTTGTTGCATCTCATCCTTCCCCCCTTTTTTTAACAGGGAAAAAAAATGCGACTCCATCCCTAAGACTAAGTCTGGTGCAGGCTTGATGGTTCAGACAAAAGAATGGCTCCATTTTCCTCAGGTAAGTAGGAAGTGAGCCACTTGGCCACCACTGGCCTGTCACTGGACTCCAGTCCAGCTGGTGTCACACTGACCAGTGTCACATGTCCATACCTCAAACAGATGAGCAGAGAAAACTCGGGTAATGTGGCCAGTTAGTGCAAATTCATACATTACATTTACAATAATCCTTAATAAAGTTACATAAATGTTAGAATGGGCAGAAGACAGCAGACCCTGACTTGCAGATAGGAAATCTGGGGAGCAGCGTGTAAAACTCAGCTCGTCTGCATGGCTCCAGTGACCCTGAGCTTCTGAGCTGAGTTACACCAGCCAGATCCAGGCTTGTCAGCTCCTGCATTTTGATTATTCTTCATTTTCAAACTATCGGAAGTGAAATTTCCAAGATGACCGTGGCAGTTTGTGTACGGTTTCAGCATGTTGGAACAGGGTTGCAACGTACCAGGCCAGTAATTATCTCCAGAAGGGATTCCGTTTCTCAGTCTGGCCTCCTGGGTTTGCTCTCTGTCCACTGAGACATGCACAAGTTCCTTTGTTGTATCTGTGTGAGAGACCACAGACACAACAAACAAACTTGTGCATGTCCACTGCGAGGTGACCACCTGACTCATGCTGGGAGGGACGAGTTGAGCTCGTTTGAACCATTTCAATTAAAAGGACCCGGATTTCACTAGAGCACAGAGTTCTTGCTGTGTGCTGATTGGTCAGTCTCCTGTAATCATGCACGTGTCACTTATGTTAATGTGAAGCAGCTGGATGAGTCTTTCAATCAAGGAAACAAACCAGTAAAAGTTCAAGATGAACTATACAATTTAGCCAAACACAGGAGCCTTTCAATTTTAAATGTAGTTTGTAAAACCTGAAGTAGCTTTCAGTGTCCCTCCTGACATGAATTAGATTGTCACCCTAGTCAACTGTCACTCACTGAAGGCTGTGCACTGTGCAAACACAGTGTCAGTCCATGGAGCCTGTATGACCACAGATCATGCACTTAACATCCATGGTTGTATTACTGTATTTCTTTGCTGCCAGGGACTGCTTAATGGCAGATGTGTGTAACCTTGGAAACCGCCAAAGCTGGCACGAATCGCTAGCTCTCTCTCCCTGCTTCATTAGTTTAAATGCGCGGCGCAGGTGAGTCGTCCTGTGAACAAAGGCAGAGGAGCTGCTCCTGGTTTAGCTGGAAATAAAGCCCGAAGGAGCCCACTGTTATTCACCCGCGTGAAAATACTCGGCTGTTTGCATTTGCATAAAATGACGAAGAGTGAAAGACGGGAAGCTCCGGCTCAGCTCTGCGACTTCCAGCTTGATTTAGCTTGATTTCCAGATGCATGCGGCCCCAAACGCCATCGCGTCAGGCTGGACCCTGCATGCGCGTCCATGTCTGAACTCAAGGTAAGGCCAGTGATAAGCAAACACACAGCCACCCTTCCCTTTGCGTCCCAAGACCGTTACAGTTGACCTATCCTGAGAATCTGCATGGGCAGTTGTAAGGGTTAAGTAAAAAGGCAAAGCCTTGCATGGAAAATATACTCATCAGCATTTTAAAGGTCATACTGAAACAATGGTCTGATTAGCATAAGCAGTAAATTCAGTTTTTCGCTCCTCACCCTGGTACCCACAGCTCTGCACAGACCCACACCGGGGGCAGGATGGCTCGTCGCCCCCCCCACCGATTTGAGTTACTCAGCTGCATGTTTATGTGTTGGTCTTTTGATTGGTCGAGATCAGCCCTCCCATCACGATTTAGCGTGACACTGTGATGCTCCACTAACACCAGTCCTTCAAACTGCAGCCTTTCTGAAAGACATTGGTCAGCTAATCCAGTGTTTCCCAACCCGGTCCTTGGGGACCCACAGACAGTCCACGCTTTTGCTGCCTCCCAGCTCCATACTGGGGATCCACGAGGACCGGGTTGGGAAACACTGAGCTAATCAATGGAAATCATATCACTTCTGTATATCGCTTCTGTCTCCAGAGTCGATGGGTTTCCAGAGCAAGGGATTGGCCTCTTGACTATAAGCGTTCAGGGAAGAGGACACAGTAAGATCAGTAAGATATATAGAATGACCTGTGTTTTTTTTTATTGATGTAAAAGCTCTTAGATCGTTGTTTATGGATTTCAGGATACCTAAACAATAGGTGAAACACATTACCAGCAACAGAGAGTGGAACTGGCCATAAATCACTCTATTTGACGATATACATCTCAGATTTAGGGGAACATGATGTACCAGAAGCACACATATCAGGAGGCAAGTACAGCCTCTGTTTTTGTCACATCTTATTATCACAACCCCATAAGATGAAGAATATTGTAGCTAAAATGTAGGGGATATGCAAAGCATATCATTTACAGACATCCTTGGATTGATCCGTTCTAGCGGTAATTTGAAATCCATCGGATGAAAGCCTTTTCTGTGGTCACCAAATAAGCACAGGTGAGAGGAATCCAAGAGCAGTACAAAAAATATAAGTATGTAAGTATCTGCCCACCCTTAGTCCCTCAGAAAAAAAATAAATGAATGGTTTACCTCATCCACGTTCTCAAAGGCGTTAATGATGTCGTAAGGCAGGCAGGACAGCAGGTCGATGACAAACCAGGTCTTTAGGTAGTTCATGCGGATGAGCTTGGGGTCCGAGATGATCTCGCCTCCAGGACCCACAAAGGTGGTGTGGAAATTCAGCATGATGTCCGCTAGGAAGATGACGTCTACTATGCTGTCCAGAACCAACCAGGTGATGTTGTTCTGCTTCGTCTTGAAGGACACGTTATAGGGCACCATGATGGCTGTGTAGAAGGTGAGGATGAGGATGACCCAGTCCCAGGTGGCCTTGAAGAGGCAGTAGTGCAGAATGATGTGGGGGGGCGTCTTGGGTGCCTCTTGTTTATACTGGGGGAGGATGTCAGAACCCAGCTGGAGAACCTGTATTTTGGGAGACATTGACTTTCGAGAGTCAGCGATCATATATCCACCGTGACGTTCAATAATCCATCAATTCAGTCAGTCATGTTCTGTGTTCATTTATTTACTTCACAGTTACAGCATTATGGTCTTAAGTTTCTACGCATCTGAGGCCCTGGTGCCCGCAGAATTCTCATTCATGTTACGCACACCAGTGACGTACGAGCTGTTTGCCGTTACGAGTCAAAGAAAAAGATTTTAATGATATTTTGGTAGCTTGTGGGTGGGCCAGTTAAAGTAAAATTTAAGCATGCAAAGCGAGTCGTGCATCATTTTGTCTTTATTAATATTAATGTTTGAGTCTGGTTGAATTATACACATGCTTTCTATTTTTAGATCTATGATGGCGTTTTCGGGCATTGATAAAAAATAAAATACGGTAATTGATTTAGAGAATAAATTTGTGATATTTTGGTTATAGCCTAATGTAGAAATAGCCTGCAAACCACCACGACCTGCAGCCTGAGCTTCAATAAAAGTGTCACGTCCTTCTAACCAGTTATGATTCTTACACAAACCCTTCAATGTCTTCATACTAACGATTATTTGCTGGGCCAAGTTTGCCATTGTCCTACAGCGATTTTGCAGAAAAACAAGCCCAAAGTCACTTGGAGAAAGCAAACTTGGCAATGTGCCCATCTTGTGCTACTGCAAGGGTACACAGTGTCTGGCATACAGGCGGGGGCGCCGCTGGTCTGATGTCTCCATGGCTCAGGAGTCCAGCGGAAGTGTAATGAAGCAAGTGGTGGTTGTATTGATACCAGCACATGAAAAGCAAAGGGCCAAGGCAGGGGGCAGAAGCCATTAGCCATCCGTCCTCTGGCAGCTAAAACTCTGCTCTCTTACTGAGTTCCAGGACCTCGTGTGGAACTCATGCGGAGGCTTTAAACACCCAAGAAACTCTCAGAAGTTCTCTTGGCAAATTAGCCCCTGTGCTAATGGTTGAAACACACTTTTCGTGCTATTCTCAACCCATAGAACTAAAAAATAAGAACAAGTGCTTCTGGTTTTTGGCCAGTAACTCAGGTGCAGTAGTAATTGACTGGCGAGTTGAGAAGCAAGTCTGAGCTCCGCCCACTGTGACCTTTCACATCAGGGCACACAGCGGCCTCGCGGCGAATCAGACAGAGCCGACACTGACGTTCTCAATGACATTGCCAAATGCCGCCCTCCCCAGCAGGACTCACGAGACATGAGACCCCTGGCACCGAATACCGTTGTGAATTGCAATTACCCTCAAAGATATGTTTCTGGAGAGAACCTAAGAGGACTTGCTGGTACTCCAGGCCTGAGCTTAACCTCCAAGTGTCGTCTAACAGAGGTTTGTGAGCTGGGCAGGTAACAGGACTGCACCTCCTAAGAGTCCTTGGGTTACGCAAACAGAGAATGGGAGTCCAAGGGGACAGATCCCCACAAAATAACAAAATTTCTTAATTAAAACTGAATATTCGAGGGAGAAATGTGTAAAAACACTTTTAGACATGCGTGATGTGAGAAGGCAAGCAGATTTTGTAAAACCATGTTCATGATTTACAACCCAGGATGGGGCGCTGACCCATCACAGGGCACACTGACATACCGTTCACTCACGCATACACACCTAAGGGCAATTTGGCAACGCCAATTAATCTCCGCATATTTTTGGACTGGACGGGGAAGCTGGAGGACCCAGAGGAAACCCCACGATGACACATGAAGAACATGCAAACTCCGTAAACAAAGCCATAGAGGAACCTCAAACCCTGGTCCTAGAGGTGTGACACCACTGCGCCACCACGAAAGGCAGCTTCATTTATCACAGAAATACAGACGCTCCTCTACTTACGAACTTTCAACTTACGGACTTTCAGATATACGAGCGAAGTCCAAATTATGTTCATTGGGCTCCCGTTTCCTGTCCGCAACATCAAATTTTTTTCTGCGCGCCAATTCCTGGTAGTACGACTGCTGGCCGCTACTCCCGCCGCGCAGCGTAGCGTGCGTACTCCCAGCATCCTACTTTTTTGTACTTGCGAATAACTTTAAAATGATGTTGAATGACGACTTACGAACATTTCAAGTTACGAACGGCCGTTCGGAACGTATCTCATGCGTAAGTAGAGGAGCGTCTGTATTGCTCCCTGGGAATCCGTGCGCGCGTCCTTACCTCAGCCAGCCGTGAGTGCTTGTGGCTGACCTCAGCCTTGTTCATGGGCGTCAGCTGCTGCATGGCGCTGCGGCTATTGGTCAGGGCCCGCGTCAGTCGTGCAAACTTGGTCCATCCTGCCAAAGACAACCGGCATCACTCTGACTGCTGGGGTAACTAATCACCATCAATTGAGTGGCAAATGCCCCCACAGGACACCTGAAGGAAGGACACCCTGATTTACATAAAGTGAGCAGATTAGTGAAAAGTCAGGACAGGTGGGCACTCTGCCCTGGTTCCCTTGTGGACTCAGCCTAACACAACGGTTCCCTGCTGCACAACAAGCTATTTTGGAGACAAATGCCGTTTCAAGGAAAGTGCTGTAATTTTCTATTTATTGCGACTGCGGCAGAGTAGAAATCCAGTTATGTAAAAGCATCCCCAGGGGGGAGCAGGGGGTGTTTTTCCTGAAGCAATCAGCAGGAGGTGCCCACATCATTTGATGCATGAAAGCACAGCCCCTAACGGGATTCCTCATTAAAGGATACCGGGAGCTGGAGTTTATACCGCATGAAAACTTTGGAAACCTTATTAAACCCCACTGCAGAAATAGAGCTTTTCTCCGCAGTTAAACTTGAGGACTATATTCGGTAATGACTGCATTAGAGGGTGTGGGGAGGCAGGTACCACTGTCAACTAATTACACTCAGGAGTGCTTTGCTTTAAAAGTCCACCTATCTACTAGGTCTTAGACCAAAGTGTCTGAGAGCAAGCGATGAGAGATACGTAAGAGTAGTGTGTCGGGGATGCTGTGGGTCTTCACACTGCGTCTGCCGATTACATCTGGAGAAGCTTGAGGAACATCAGGAAATGACAAATTCTTTCCCCGCCTGTTAGGCAGCATGTCTACCCATAGAGAGAGTCAGGGTAGGACTTTGCTATGTTACTTTGTTATATTACTGGTCGTTCTATTACTTTGTAACACAAAAATCCTAGCTTGTGTGGCCTCCCGTAAATGGTAATGGAATTACTCTACCTCCCTATTGAGACCGAAAGGCAAGGTGCTGTCCAATGCAAATCAGCTGAGAAAGACCCGAACAATCAGACTGTCACAAGCTAGGATGATCAAGGAACCGAGACATTCATTACCATCTCCTGGTTCCTGCCCTTTTATCTTGCGTCTCCTGCCTGGCTGTGATCAAACTTGCTCTGTTTGTCTTAGACTCTGTAAAACGGCTGGAATCGCACAAGGTAGGAGAAGGCGGCTGAAACGACGGAATCTAACACCAGCCATATACTGGTCCTGCTCTCCCAAGAGAAGTTTCCCAACCCTGTAGAAGCAGAACCTACCCTTGGTGGTCTCATCCTCAATGGGATGCTTAAAGAGCGTGATGTCTTTGAACGTGCACAGGAACAAAACCACCCTGTCGTACTCGTTCCTGATGGGTGCGATCTGCATGTAGAACCAGACAGGATTCCCTGGGGGGGGAGGGGGGGTGACAGATAAAAGAAGAATGACAGACTGAAAGGGGGATTTGTACTATATGTGCCATAACACCAAATGTACCATAACACTCACGCAACGTATATGGAAACATACAAACTGAAATCAGCTCCTGACAATTTATAGATCCTTTGAAGAAGAAATGTACAGAACATTTATATCCAGAAACAGGCATCTGTTCCATAAGATCTGAAAAAAGAGATGATTGTATACCTAATTTAGGAACACAAACACTTGCATCTCAGAATAAACTCCTCGTAGGAACACAGTTGGGACACAAAGACCAGAGCGACGCTCTTTCGCACGATCCCTGGCACGGCTCTCGGTACTCACTGTTGGCCCTGTATAGCAGGATCTCGAAGCAGTTGGTCTCATAATTTTCAAAGGTGTCGCGGACATTATCTATCGTCTTCCTGTCGGTCAGCTCTCCGTACATAAAACTGTGGGAAGAGGTAGGAATAGGTGAGGGCGGAAAGGTCAAAGGGCGTGGGAGGAAGCGGAAACGGCTGGGTCACAGGTTGTGATAATGGTGGGGGGGGGGCGGAGGGTGATGGAGCAGTAAATAAAGTACGATTTGGGATTGTGGGATTGTGGGATAGCGGGGGAAGGGGGTTTCAGCAGCGGGCATGTAATCCTAGTGAAAGGAGCATCAGAACAACTGGCAGCCTGACTGCCTGAAAACCATTATTTCCTATTTGAAAATTCATTGCCCCACCGGTGCCGCGTGACGCCATCCGATACTGTGGGAAATGGATCCTGTCCGATCTAATAGGCTTCCAGGAAGCTCCAGCAGGAGAAATTAATCAGCTGGTTCCGACAGGCAGCGGCGTGGCCGCGAAGGCAGGCGTGCGGGAGACGGGGCCGCCGAGAGCAGGGTGACGTCGCTGCGCTGATTTACTTGAAATCCGCTGCCTTTAATTTAGCGCTCCCAGAATGCCGTGCGAGCGTCTCGGTTAAGCTGCGCTGGCAGCGGCGCCTCGCCGCTGACAATCCGTCCGATCTGTAAAGTCTCAAGGAGCTCTCGTTATTTTTTATTTCATTCAGGTAATTTTCGTGAAAATCTTGTTCCGTTTCTTTCCAGAAGGAGGTCTGCATAGTTTTTTTTTTTTTTCCTTCTCATACCACTTTGTAAAAAACAGACGTATTGTGTGCTTGCCAATAACAAGCCCTAGCTGTAGTAGAAGAATTCCTGCATGTCAGACCCAAATAAGATCAATTAGTGCGTTAGTATGGTCACGGTGACCAAACAGTGCACCTCAGAAACGGCGAAGGACAGAATTTTGGAATTTATAAGAAAGGATTAGTTTTGTCATTGCATGACAGAGAGAGAGTTTGTTTTTCTTCCCTTAGTCCCCAGGACGCTTGGTGACAATCAGATCAAATCCACGTCACTTTGCGTGACAAGTCAGAAGTATCTACAGCTGCAGTGTCTGGATTGCAAGATGGTACCAGTGAGAAAGACGGTTTAAACACAAAACTGCATAGCCTCACACAGTAACGTCACACAGATATAAACCACTCATGTGAAACAATTATTATATCATGCAATATGAAGCTAATGACACGTAATGATTGAAGTAAGGTGAAAAGGCTGAAGATCATTTAGTAGATTTTTTTGATAAAAATCCCCCAGTGAGGTCCCCATGACAACGGCACGCGAGGGCCTGTGTTCGCGTTGCGAGGGCAGTGACACTGGCGCACTGTCTCTGGGTGTTTTCTGCAGCATTTGCCCACTTGGCCTGTCTTCCTGCAAAGGCAGTCAAGGTGCCCATGTATGTGCCAGTTTATACCGCAGCACACTTAAACTTGCAGCCGCCTGGGTGCCGTTTCGCTCGTGCCGTCATGTGACCCCGGGACCGGCCATCGCAGTGCCGTGACTCCATGTGACGGTGGACTTGGTTCTCCAGGCTTCCACTGCTCCTCTTCCCAGCAGGCTGGGGGCAGCTACTGTTCCTGGTTGTGTGGCATTTCCTGGCCAATCGGGCCGCACGTATGTGAAGCCCCACCTCGCCGCCACTCCAGGACGATGGCAGTGGAAGGAGACGGATTAGCGGTAGCAAAGCTTGACGGCTGACTAACGAATCAGCTCACAGAAAACACACACGCCGAATGTGACACACGGGCCTCACTCACCGGGGTGTTTACATATGGCTCTACCCACCAAACAATCCTCAATCCTCAATCCTCCCCTAACGCAGTGTGGGAGAAGTCCAGCTTTACCTGCACGTGCTGCTCTTCTGCATGACTTCCGCCCGGTGGTACCCTGACAGCTTGCAGAAACTGTCATTGCTGTAGACTATAGGCCACCCCACAATCTGGGCGTTCCCCAGGAGGAAGCTGGTTTCTGAATGACAGGGAGGAGAGGGAAAAGGCCAGGTTACAGGTTCCAGGGTGGTCAGGATCGTTGTCACGCAGGCTCTCCAACATGCAGGCAAGCTGCGTCTCCTCAACCAAGCGGGAGTTAGAAGACGAGGTGTTTGATTAACGTTGAGGACGGGGCTTCCCGGGAAACCGCGGTTACCTGTACAAAATCATGAGCTAAACTGAATATGGCAGCATCATCAGACTGTAAAGAAGCAAACTCTCCCCCTTCGTCCCCATCATCTGTAACTAAGAGTTCCCTGCTCTTCCACTGAAGATGAGACCCACCAAGAAAACTAATGGGACGTGCTGTTGGATTCCATTCCAAGAAGGCGGAGGCCCAGGTACCTGCCATCTTACCCACCGTGGGGATCCACATGCTCAACATCGCCAAGGGCAACGCAGCACTGTCGCTAACACCTAGACTGCCGTTTGGCCTTATATAGTAACACACTGACCCACCGGCCCGCGAGCCAAGAGGGGAATGGCAGCTGCAGCCGATCGAGGGTCAATGAGACAAAACAGACTGAAGCGACTGGGAGCTGGGTTAGCTTTGGGCTGGTGTTTGACATAACCCCCTTTGCATTACTCACGAGTGGCCCCGATGCGTGCTGTTAAAACCCCAGAAATAGCCCCGTGTCAATGCGTTCTGTGGTGGAGGACCGTGCTAAAAACCAGGCCGCTCTTTGTTCCACTAATCTGCTTTTTCACTGCGGTAAGAGACTGCAGCACCTTGTAGCGGGACGATTAAACCAGGCTATAGGGGCCGGTTGGGCAGGACAGAGCAGCAGAGAAACCTGCGGTATAATTAGCACCTTTCTACTGTTACACTCCCACAGAACGCTCACCAATAGCAGCTCACTGTGCCAAGGGTCAAAGGTCAGGGGTCACCGCATTCTGCTTCCCAGGTTCCTCCCACTGTTTTCCCACTTCGTTTTGCTTGCCATAGGAACCAGCAATGGGGCCATGGTTGGTACACCGTTAGTTGTATAACTCGAGATGGCAAGATGTTTTTCCACAGACAGCAGATTCGGAAGCTGACAGCCCATAAAGCAGCAGCTCCGAGTACCAGCCAAGCCGTTCGCGTACAGCAGCTCCTAGCTGGGACGCTGGCCTGTTCAAAGAAAGGCGCCGCCCTGCTGGTTTCAAGAGGGATTTGCCTCTAATGCCCTTTCTGGCAGACAAACTCTGATAAAACCTCCTAAGATCGCAGGAAGGAAACCCAGAGTAGATACAAACAAAAGGACACTGTGTAAATGTTTGACACATCGAGGTAGATCCTAGGCTGTACCAATCTTCATGCTCTGACAGTAGTGAGTATCAGATGCACAAAAACAGCATTAAAAACATCTTTGTAACAGTGGTGAAAACAGAGATGGGAGGACCTGTACCTACAGAGTCTTAGTTATTTTTTAATCCTTCTAAAGCACCAAATCTCAGCCAACCAGGGGGCTTCGACCACAGCCAGTCACACAACAGCTGAGAGGCTGTCCGACGCCGCGTCACACACTGTGGCCATGGGGCGTGGGGCACCACATGCTTTTCAGCTCCCGCCAACTTGAGTCCGGCGTGGGTTTTCGGAGTTGCCATGGTAACCAAAAAAAGGCGAGGGAAGGATGGCAGGCACCTGGTGGCACGTTCAAGACGCCTTTGCACTGGGGAACACTGAAACTGTCATGTGACATTTCATCACCTTCCACGCAGTCCCACTTCTTCTGGAATATTCTGTTCCTCAACCTTTCCCGCTGCCTTGTGGAATGGCATTGTCTTTAAATTTCTAGTATCAGTCCAACATCAGTAAAACAGTAGGCTATTACTTTTCTGGGACCAATATCACCTCATGAGCAGTGGTATAACCTTTTATGTAGTAATCATGCTTCCATCTCTGCTGACAGGAAAGGAGATAATCATAACTTCGTATGTGAGGAAGCTGTTAATGCACTCCGTTTGTGAAAATCAATATTGGCGCAACGCGTGAGGAAGCGCTTATTAAGCTGCTGGATAAAGAACCGTCAAGCCGGAGTGGAATATTTACTGTAGCAATTGCTGTCGGCGTGGCCGTGGTGTGAGGCGTTCTGAACCGTGCAGTTTAATGAGCCTGGTGCCGGAAATGAAATCGGCCCTGTACGAAACTCAGCGTTTCCATTTCTGCAAGCTTTCCGCGCCGTTTGCTGGCTCAGCTTGCGTGGAAACACCTCCGCAAGGAATCAAGTGTTTAAACTGTTCCGATATTTCACAGCACCGGCAGGTGTCCAGAACAACCTTTGTAATTAAACAAATCTTAACGAAGATATTTTACTAACTGGATTTTTATATATGCCTACTATAAGCTGTAATTACAAAGTAGTATTCTTCTGTTCAATTTTGGATTGCAATTTGAATAGAGTGCACGCATAATCATAAACTGCAATTATAAGGCTTTTAAGATAATAAATTTAATTATATATTAGGAGGCAATAAATTGTCCATTGATTCCCAAGTGTATACAAAAGTAAACAAATTTATAGAATAACGCCAATACTGGCTACTGCAAAATGCTTTAATATATGGGCTAATTACAGTGCTGAGTCCCGGTGGTTTAGGCGCGCGCCGAGCGAGCTGCGGGTGACGTGTGAGATTCCCACAGCGCGTGGGAAAGCAGCCCCGCCCAGATTGGGTGCAAAACTGCCTCCTGGCGGCGGACCTCGGGATGCCCACAGTGTGTCATCATTTTATACAGGTTACGCTAAATAACTCAACGCCCATGTCTCCGGAGTCAATTGAATGCACTTTGAAATGTGCTACTACTAAAGTACAGCTTACATGTAACATAGGCTATTTATTAAACTTGTAGCGTTTTGATGCTTACACAAACAATGCTATAATTGTCACAAAATTCTTTTATCAAATATACGCCGTTATACACGACGAATATTGTGTAAAATAACCACGTACCATTCGTAAAAATCTAAATAATCCCATCGAAAACAATAAAACTAGCCTCTACGTCTGCAGGGTCTCGGCGTGTCCGCCGGCGCAGTCGATCCCCATACCTCCGCAGACACCCACCCTACACCATCCATCTCAGCTTGTTTATGGGCAGCGCAAAGTTCTCACCTTTTCGGGTTGCACCTGAACATATAAGATTCCTGATGCGTTATTACAATATTTGTGAATCATGCCTTCATTCATCTAAAGTCACATTCAGCGTGGTTAGAACGGTTATTATATAATATAAAGTATGTCTGCGGTACAGTACAACGTGTTGACTGCTGTGCCATTTGTCAAAATAGGCCTATACTGATTTTCCCTAGTAAACAATGTTGATTAAGAATTTTTAGGAGAAACATGACAACTGAAATACTGTTTTTTTTGTATTTCTCTGCTCAGTATAGGAAACCCTGAGAGCAAAGAAGTAAAAAGGATTCCGTTTTCAATCTGTTTACTACCATTCGGTAACCCAGTTCAGACGTTCTATTTTACAGCTTTTCCTTTACGTTGCTTTAATTTTTCAATCTATGAAACATTTTAAGCAAAATACTCTCTGCGTTGTTTGTACTGAGACGCACACAAAATATTAAATTGTAATATGATATGGAAAAGTATATACGTAGCCATGTAAGTACTTGTCTTAAGCCTACACTTTCATTAAAATTACGCAATCGCATGATTGCAGTTGTCACCTTAATAGCTGTCATTTTAAAACAACAGTTTTGATTCATTTTGTTAAACAATTGTATTCTTGAAAGTTTAGTAATCCTGCACCTACAAAATAAGGCAATTCGCAGAAAGAAATCTGTTAAAACACTTCAGGGTTAATTTTATAACGAAATATTAAGATCATATTATCTCTATAAAACAATACATCTATAACAAACCAATTAGGTTAAGGATGACAAAACAGTACTGTAAATCGCACTGTATATAGGACGACAAAGTGCAGCACAAAATCACTCCTTCATCCAGATTCAATATCGTAAGCACAATCACAGGCTTATATTTCCATCATAAACATTAAACCGAGCGCAACAGTCTTGAGCTCCACCTCATCGTCCAGAACTACATACGGACCTGTCACTTCAAACTACGTTGCTGCTTATCAGCCATCTACTGTATTCACTTAACCGCTATTCATAATTTGTAAGACTGGCAAAGTTTATCAGCAGTCGGTAGTCTGACGTTTATTGAGCGCCAATCAAAAGATGCAGGACACATATACAGCCGCGGCTGGCTTCTAAAACTAATTATAGGCGATATACATTAATCAATGGAAGTTAATATTTCTCCATTCGTCTTCTCGTTTCATGTAAACTGAAAAGCTTATCTTCTTACCACTTGAGCGCCTGACAATATTTTCCAAAAAAGTGTTCTGAGGTGCGACCAGCCCTCTCTTTCCCCCTGGCATTCTGCGTTTGGACAGTGTTGGTCAGGATGTCTGATCTTGCAGGTGGAAAAGTCAAGATAGGTATGTTTCGGCAGGACGGAGAAAATCATGGTAACGTCGCACCGCGGCTGACTCCGGGTCTCCGCGCCACCAGCGCTCCGAAGCTCCGCAATGTACTCGACTCGACAGGCGAGCGCGCATGCGCGGCTCCTCTGGCGCGCTTTAGCTCAGAAATTCCCAGAGCCGGAACGACATCGTCAGTGGGGTTCACTGGTCTGAACCGATGTTTAAATTTCAAGTTTCAAATGACAAGTTTTATAATAGAACAAACAGCAATACAAAACAAGATACTGCAAGAAAATAATAAAAAGTCGTGATGATAAATAATGCATATGTAGTGCAATATGTGGATGGGATAATTATTAAGATTATGAAAGGTATCAAAACAATATAAAGTACTGGCAAAGTGCAGGAAGTAAGTGAACAAAATCGGTACAATACAGGTACAAGTCAGTGTGTGACTGAGTGGATTTGGATGAATGGAAAGTTGAGATTTCAAATCCTGTGATTAGCAGAGTTGTCTCACCATTGGGCCCTCCAGTCCCCAGTTTCTCCAGGGATTGGCTGACCCTGCTCTCTCAAATATATGTAGCTTTGGACAAAATAATCTGCTAAATAAATAAAGGAACCTGATGCCTTAGAATCACAGTATAGGGCTGGTCCTGAGGTCAGGTCAGGTGGGGGGTCACAATGAAACACCTCGGGTTCCTGGTTGGCTGACACGCGGTGTTACGTGGGTTACGTGGTCTGGTCCAGCCGCTTGGGTCCTCAGCAATGAGGATCCTGCGAGCCGGATCACCCTTTGGGGATTGAGGCACGATGACTTAGTGCCGTAACTGACGTTCCATCACAATGCAGGTAATGTGCCTCCTTTGGGCCTCCCTGAGGAACAGCTGAGCTCTACCCAAGGAAGAGACACGGTACCAAGGGAGTCCAGCCTTCATCTCCGGTCACAGGACAGTGTCCATGTCTCAGCCATACAGTAAGACAGGAAGTACCAGGACTCGAAAAACTTGTACCATCGGCCTCTTACAAAACTACCCAGAGCATTATACACTCTTTTCCAACGACCTCATGATCCCCCATGCTCTCCCAATCCATCTAATAACTTCATAGTAAGAGTCACCACATGAAGGTTGATACCCTCTGTGCAGACAGACGCTATGCTGAGAGCTGTGCCCAAAAATTCACTTTGCGTTTTAAGGCAAAACAGGGGAGAGAATCAGCCGTATCAAAGCAAATACCCAGATCACTCCAGGGAAAAGTATAGCACTGTATAAATAGGGTACATTAATAAATAGTCGATCTGAACAAAAATCTCTAATAAATAACAGTGAATATACCAAATCATCACGTGCTTGCACACATAACAGAGGATTCCCTGTCCACTTTGCAAAGTGCATAAACAGGCTGTGCTCATTCATTAAAAACAAGGCCTGTGTCCCACCAGGGGGGCTCATTTCCTGTTCCTTGTAAGTACTGATCCATCGGCACAAGTTAAATGGGTCACATGGGGCTTGAGGGGCTTGGGTGAGCCTGCAAATTGGCATGAATCTCAGCTTAAGTTGTCAGATTAATTAGTATAAATATTGTTTCATATGCAAAGGATGAGTTTTGTCTTTTACTTCATGTATGAATATTAAGGTCACATTTATTCATTGTAACAGGTAAGTGCCCTTAATGATTGCTTATTGATATTATAAATCTAAATGTAATATGAGTAGAAGCATAGCCTTCCTGCTGTCATGTCCTGCATGCCTGACACTCATGTCCACTCCCTACTGTGGCCCTGATAAGCCACACCTGATGCGTGTTACCCCTTGTTAGTCCTTGTATTTAAGTACCTGTTTGTCCAGCCCATCTGGTCATTAACATCGAACCCTTGTGTTACCCGTGCCCTTCCTTGCTCCATTCCCCGGTTTTGATCCCCTGTGATCCTGTGTATTTCCAGTTTATGTTTTTTTAGTTCAATAAACCCCCTTTTTGTTTTGCCACAACGCCTGCCCTACAGTCATTCATTTCTCAAGTCGTGACACCTGCTTAAGAATTCAAGGGTTTTATTTGTCACGTGCCAGGTATACAGTCAGACTATAACTTGCAGGGAAGTGAAAAGTGGGCAACTCCACCATAATAAATAGTGTAAACTAAATATGTAATAAATAAAAAACTGAAAAATAAAAGACCAGAGACACAGTTGAGGTGCCTAAATAAGGAGAGAATATAAAATTAGAACCGTCATTTAAATATTAAGTACTGTAATGTTTAGAGGGTAGAAGCTTCTGAGCTTCTTAGTTCTCACGCCCATGACGGTCCTACGTCCACCGACCCATCCTAGACATTACGGCCCGGTTTTTGGTTTTAAAATGCATCTTGGGCGATTGGATTGCAAGCAGTCAGGTGAGACACTCGGCTGTTTACACCTGTGTCTATCATGCGTCTCCAAGATGTCCAGCTGACAGTTCGTGTTCAGATTTCATTACATGCCTATGTTACTTACACTACAAGGTCAATTGGCCCCATGCACAGTTAATGTGACATCCTTGTCGGGGACAGATCAGGACACATTAGTGTTTAGACTACAAAAGATATGTGATCAAATGTGTCCCAAGCCACCTTGGCAAGAGGTTGTTTCTCATATTTGGTGCCGTCCACTTGTGATCTGATTGCCCGAGACATATTTTGAAACCAGCGCCTAATTGTTTTCTTAATTCTATGTGTTTGACTGAGCTTCTCTGCAGTTCCGGAACTCCATCCTTCTCCGATACCCAAAGCTAGTTAACGACGGTTTTCACAAAGGTGACAAATATCATCATGTGTCAATCAAGAAATGCTTTAGGTTGAACAGACCAGCAGAAAACGTAAACATTTTGGGAAACGGCGGTTAAATGGATTGCGGGAAACAGGAGCTGTTACCGTAACGCTGCAGAGCTGTCGGTCGGCCGTAGGGTCAGAGAGCGGTGAGTTATAACACCAGATCATCTTAATGTGGGGGGGAGGCGGCGATGATGCCCCAATGCGAAGTAACAAACTAACAAAATAAAGGGTAGAATTACCTTTTAGGCATACGGCTGTGAAATCACTGTGATGCATCATCTCTCTTTACCAAAGTAATGTTATTTTAGAGAGCATGTTTTATTCATTGGGAGTGTCCTTTAGTTTTGAGGTAGTTATAAAATGTGATTTTAAAAAGTAAATTTTTTGCCAGTTTTGCCATATAGTAGACTTTTCTGTAGGATATGAGTCAGCGTCCTACATAAATTCTAATCTATGGCATAGCGATCTCAAATTAGTTGGAAAAAAAAGTAGAGTAGTCGTGTTTTTCACGTTTATGCTATCTTCGGTAGATCAGCAGTGTAGTTGTGTTTAAGTAAATGAGCCAGCAAATGTCACTTCGATCATCTTTTAGTGACTGATGGAAGAAGGAATTTTCCCCTGTCACTTCCCCCCCGCAAATGACGGTAAAGTGGCCAATCGCACCTGGTGCCATCTCAGCTCCAGACAGAGTCAGCCAGTGGGTCCCACAAGAGACGGAATTCACACAGCTCACGTGACCCAGCGCCCCCCCACATGCGGCAGTATTAGACACTTTAGTTTAATATCGGTAGTGTAGATACAGACATACACATGATTTCGATGTAACCCACATGAGAAAATGATAATTAGCAGCCCAGTGGGAATGAAGAGCTCCTATTACTTAGGGAGCAGAACAAGCAGAAAAGGGTGTGACCACAAGGGGGCGCTGTTAGTGTGTTTATATAGACTTTTGAAAACTAGCTCTTTGCTGCAAGTAATTTCCAATGTTTTACTGCAAATTTTAATTGTCACACTGAAAGGGCCAATACAGACTGACTATTCAGAGAGGAAGTCCATAAACAGATGAAAATTTTAACTAAACATTGCCTCCTAATCTCCCAAGCAACAGCCAGTCCTCAACGCATGAGACTGAAGTTCCCAGTATTACTGGCAGCTGCTTGGGCCCAGTGTTGCCATGGAGATACCTGCTGATGGCGACCACCACCAGCAACGTCTGTACAAGATATACACGTGAATTAACATTAATATCAGCCTATTGTATTTGTTGAAGTTGCAGAAATAATCATTTAAACAATGACCTATAGCAAACCAACTGCCAGCCATATGAATAACATGTAGAACTGTGTACTGAAACTCATAGGTGCTGTTCCAAGTCCTCCAGTGTCAGTTATTATTTTGTTAGCCAATCTTCTTATGTCAAGGCTTCAGATTAGTCTTGCGATTTGCCAGACTAATAGTTTTGCACGTGCGTTTTACTGAGTATGTAAGGCGGCCCGACTCGTAGAAAATAGTTTCTTATGACGTCATTGAAAGTTTCATTTTAAACAAGCCAAGCTCCCTGAATAACAAACCTGCTTCTTCACCTGGCTGTGGCCTGCTGCAGATGTTAGCAAGCCGGGCTTGTACTGGCTGGCAGTGCGGGCCGGACCGTGGCAGTGACTCCACCCGCTTACTCCGGCCAAGAAGCTATCTCCGTGCTCCTGAATGGAATTCCTAGTTGAGGGACTAGGGGGCTGATGTCTGAGATTTTTAGTTTTAGTTCCTGTTTTCACCCTGAGAGGAAAGACCCACCATTGTTAGGATGTGGCCCTGTTGTCTTTCCTCGGAGGACAGTGGTCTGTGTCTGACGCACTGATCGGAGTGTCTGTGGCTTGACTTATGAAGCCTGACCAATAGGTGTGTGGTGCTAACAGCTGATTTGCTGTCTCTGTCCTGTATTGAGGAATCTGATTGGATGGTAATTTTGTCATTGCTGGTTAAATTATGAATCTTTGACACAAGAGAGGCTTGATTGGGCCGAACTAAAAAATCCACCCGAGCTATTTCTACAAGGATCTTGATTTTTATTCTGAAGCAACCTTGTTATTTGGTGCCTCTCTGATATTGTCAGACAGGGCGATGCTGGTGTGGTAGGTGTCCCCATAAGCACTGACAAGAGCCTTGTGGCATCTGGAGACCAATAAACAATATTTAACATGAAGCAGAGACTGGGAAATCGGAGCAATAAAGCCTAATTTGTGGCTTTGGCTTTCAAATGGGGCACCCCCATTTTAATTGTGCACGGCACAGTGAGCAACATCCCCTTCTCCTTTCAACGCAGCTTAAAAAAGCACCCTCTCTGTCGCTGGGCTGAATGTGTGTAGTGTCGGAACACGCGAAGCCTGCCTGCATTCCTGGCACGGAGTAGTTTTGGAGTTAATAGCAAGAAATTTTTTTTTGGCCGCGATAAGTAACAGGGGAGTGGATATTTTTAGCTGCATTTAAGCATTCAAGCGCAAAGATGGGTAATTTCAACACAAAGAATACTTTAAAGTCCCAGGGCATTATATCACTTTTATTATGCCCTCCGCTGTGTTTTTTTTAATGACGCCTCAGTGTCTGATGGTACCTGTGTTGACTGGACTGTTTGGGGGGGGGGGGGGCTTAGCTGAGTGGGAGGTCTGGTTCCAGTAACAGCAGCCCAAACCCAGTGTGCCGCCTAGCAGGTCAGATAAAAACAGGCTTGGTTCTGGTGACTGGGACCTCACTCTCAAGCAGGCCCATCACAGTGTGCTGAGTGGAGCTCCTATCAAAAATGTGCTCAGCTGTAGCTGGTGGCAGGGAAGCCTGTAGGTCACTCTGTGGTAGGGGGGTGGCTGGCATTGGTAAAAGTTGTGGGGGGTTTGGCACCAGTAGGTTGCTAAGTCGATGCCCATTCTGAAGATGCCTCCCTGGGCAGTTGCCCATCCATTCCTAGGATCCACTGCTGACTGCTGGACAGTCCAGACCCTTCTTTCGATGTGGGGGGAGGTGGAGGGTTAGTCAAGAAGTATTAGGGCAGATGACCGGTTTGACCATAATGACAAGTGTTCTCGTCTCTCCCCAGTCACCGGTCTGTCTGATGCAGCTCTCTCCTGGTGGGCAGTTCTGAACCAGTCCGGTCTCTGCATCAGAGAGGAAAATTGCTGACAGATGTGCCAGAGCTGGGCCTTTGCCAGCCTGCCTGGGGCTGAGGAGTCCAAGGGGGTGGCAGGTCAAACTCCAGGACCCCCTCAGCTGGCAGCTCTGTATTTATGTGATATCCCAGCCTGCACCAGCCCCCCGCTTCCCCGCCACTCTGACACATTGGCTACATCAGTGTTCATTCATTCAGCCGCCACATCCACAGCCTCCCATCCACACACACAGTTCTCACCCGCTCCCGTTCCCCGTATCGCCGTTTCAGCACCATCTGTGAGTTGGCTGTTAATTAAAAAAAGTAATTTGCCTGCAAAATTGCTTTTCCGTCGCAGTCGAATTATGTCATGGCGGCAGTTAGAAGCGTTTTGTGGTTTCAGACATAGAAGTGCTCTTACAAACCCTGCTAATGATTTTTTTTTGTTCTAGAAACGTTTACTGAGCGTTACAATTAAGGTATGGAAATGTTCAAAGTCAAAGTGTCCAGTTTGCCTGATGTTTCCGGAACATTATCCCACTGCTACAATTAAGAATAATGTATAAACAGATAAAGGGTATGGTAGAGCGATGGGTAAAATGATTGGGCCACTCCCCGCCCCCCCCCCCCCGAGAGTCATGGGTTCGAGGCTGAATGGCATGTTTGTATAAATATATCATGCTTTCATAAACTTATATTTTATAAAAAAACAATATTGTTTCACATTAATTGCATTTAAAGGATGTTCAAGTTATAATGTTATTATGCTAACATTGACAGAACCCTTATTAAAATATAATACATGGAATTGAATGTTACTCTAAGAACGTTCTCTGCCTATTTTGAGAGAACCTTCACTTAACATTGGCTTAAGTTCTGGGAATGTTCTCTGTTACTGATGGGAAGGCCAGAATCCCAGGGATCTCCAACTCTGGTCCTGGAGAGCTACCATCCAGTAGGTTTTCTATCCTATCTGGCTTCTGATGAGCCACACCTGCTCCTGGTATTTACCTGAGAACTGGTGTGGTTCATCAGAAGCCAGGTAGGATAGGAAACCTACTGGACAGTAGTTCTCCAGGACTGGAGTTGGAGACCCCTGGTGTGGAGTCTGTGTTGGGTTTGCTGGCTAACCGCCTGCCTAGTGCAGCATCCCCATGGAGATGTGTCCCCTGCAGTGCCTTGACCACGGCATTAATCAGTCACATCAACCAGAAGTGTACCATCTACTTCTGGAATTTCTTTTTGCTGCCACAAGCCGATGACCGCTAAAAATACCAAGTCGATCTGGAAGCCGTCCATAAGCCCACGCTTTGGGACACCAAGCAATTGGTCGAATGATCATTAAACAAGAACTAAGGAGGATCTAGACCTGCTCTCTTGGGGTTCCTTTGTATCTCAAGCAGCTTTGGTTCATGGGAGGGAATGACTAATCGTTGCCTGATGTCCATCAGGCTTAGCGCCGCTGAAAGTGATACGGTAATTAGATGTGCAAACGTGATGAAGGGAGACTCACGTGGCATAGCTTCTGCCTCCAAGGGGCATCTGGAATATTACCAGATTAGAAGCCCATGGTTCTGAGTTCTCAAGAAGAACCAGATGGAAAGCCTCAATTCTGTATGGGTCCTGCTAGTGCAGTTTGCACAGAGGAGTTCAAAATAACTGGACCTATGGACAGGTAGGGCACTCAGAACGTGAGGTAGAACTCTGCCATATTTAACTGATCTACATACCTGCGAGAACTGGGTCTTAGCAGCTTAAATTTTCCTCTGCTCTGGCTCTGAAATGTTAGTTGGCAATTTGCACAGCACTGGACAGCCACAGTGGAGAGTTAGCAAAGTGTATGTGGTGGGGGGGGGGTAGTCTTTTTTATGTAATCGCCTTTGTCTTTTTTATGTAAAATCTTCACAAGCATTGTCGCCATCCTGTTTTAGCAGTTAGAGCGCAATTGTGCTGTAATGTATGGAGCTGGGTGCGTGAAGCCATCTTCCTCTTCGTTTTGGACGTTTGTTCAAATTGCAGGAATCCCTTATAATGCTTGTAGAGCAGAAGCGCCTTCGTCAGGATTCATTTAGCAAACAAGCCCGGCACGAAACCCTCGGGTCGGACAGTTTGTTTTTACTCAGGTATTGATCGCACACCGGGAAATCGATGGCATGAAGGATGAAGCTGTAGGATGCTGACATATCCCCAGCCTCCCCCTGTGCTAGAAATGTTTCTCAGTTCATTATTTGGGCAGGAAGTGGCCACCTCCCTGGCTGCGCATATTATCTGCATGTTCTGCTGCTGATGGCACACAGAAGAATTGCAATATTTATGTCTGAATGCCGTAAAGCATTTCCCAACCCAGGTCTTGGGGACCCACAGACAGTCCACATTTTTGATCCCTCCCAGCATAAATGTAGACTGGCTGGCAGGGAGCTGGGAAGGAACTGGGAGTCCCCGAGAACCGGGTTGGGAAACATTGCCATAAAGAAGTTATAATATGAGGAACACTTGTCTGTGGTCCACAGGAGGGCTGGACCAGAGTGAAGCGTTCAGCTTGTATTACGCGGATGTATCTGGCTATAAATAGATTAGCGTGAAGTTGCATCCCTTAAATGCATCCCTGGATCAACCTTTTATCAGCTCAGGTGAGGAAACTGGGACTGAGTTTCTTCATTTTATGTGCTGAGCTCAGGCGGCCATCTGTGACAGTGTTGAACCGGCAGGTGAGGGATTTGTAGAGACCCCCGCTGACCAAAATTCACTGGCCCGGTATTTCTCCCAGTGTTAATAACAGCCTGAATATCCATCATTCCCATAGCGGTTGTCGAGCTCAGCCCCCTACCACACTGATTGATATTCTGCTTACATTTGCATTTCCCCCCACAATATAATAAACAATAAGAAGATAATGAAGAGGATATAGTTTGGACAAAAAACAGACGTGTAGGGGTTTCGGATTATTATTATTAGTAGTAGACAGAAATACAGTTAATGTCTATGTTTACTGGTTCATCTATGTCACCTTACACCATGCCACACCCTTTGCACTTAGTCTGAGACATACCCCCTCTCTCACACTCACCGCTGTCACTCCAGGTCCGAGTGCGAAGCAAACACGCAGCACATTCCCCTGGGAGCATGTTTCCCTGCGTCGCTGCACGTCATCGCACAGCCCCTCGGATCGAGCCTCAGTGGCTACACAGTCTCCACAGGCATGGATTTACTGAGGACGCTCGACGGAGCTAAGCCCCTGAGCAGTGGAGGAATAAGTTCTTAACAACACATGTATTTTATCTGCATTTTCAAGCTCGTGCACGACTGTCATTTTGCAGCTTTCAGTAGCAGAGAAAAAGATACAGTACAATAAAGATCAGAAAGCAGAATCACAAGGAGAAAACTGACATGTGAGGCAGTGATGGAGAAACAAGGCTTAATAACACATGATAGGTGCATCATCATGTGCTCTCAGTAAGCTCGTGGGAGTTTTACTTACACAAAAATGTTCTGAGGGCCAAACAAGAAAATGATTGGTTCAGAGAGATAACCAATCAGTTTGTACAGGGGGTGGGTCCAAGCAACTAGAAGAAATGGCACCAAGACAACTGATTGGTTGGTCCTGCCTTCTCTAGTTGCTTGGACCCACCTCCTCAACTTGTTCGGCCCTCAGAACATTTTTGTGTAAGTAAAACTCCCACAAGCTTTCAGTAACTTCCTAGTTCAAATTACTTCCTATTGTTTACTTTGTTGAAGCCAATTGGATTTCAACTGGCTGTGACATACGACACAGCATGAGGTTTGAAGCCCTGGTTCTCTTGACACCATCAATGAGCCCATTGAGAAATATGCCAATGTTCTTAGTAGGATAGAATCATGACTGCCCATCTTCGCCAGAATGGACCTGAAGCAATATCTTCAGATGGCAGTGATGCACTCTGTGGTCCTGGTGACACATACGCTGCAGTCGCACCGCAGGGCCACGGGATACGCGTAAAAGGGGTCCACCTTAGCGGAGCAGTTGGGGAGCTTGACGGTGACCAGGCGGGTCTGATTGTAGGTGCACACACGCTGGTGTGATTCGATGAACGGGGGGTCCAGAACTGGCTTCTGCGTGGGCAGGAATGGAGAGAGTCACAATCACACATTTCAGAACATCTCCCTCATTGATCCACAATACTGTAGTGCAGAGGAGGGGAACCTGATCCATGGAGTGCTGGTGTGGGTGCAGGTTTCTGGGATGGCCTCTCAGTCAGCCAATAAAAAATCCGCACCCACACCGACCCTTCATGGAACAGGTTCCCCTCCCCTGTTGTAGTGTCTACATGCTAGAGGTCCAGAAAGTAAAAATCCAGACCAAGATTTTGTTTCAACCAATAGGTTGAGCATAAAGAGTCACAGTCACAGAGATCTCAACTGGTTGGTTGAAAGAAAATCCTGGTCTGGATTTTTATTTTCTGGACCTGAAATATCTACCTCTGCTACTGGCTCCAGGCTCCAAGCTCCTGGCTTTTATACAGGAGGCTTTGTATGCCACAGATTTAATGACTGACATCCTCCTATCAGCATTCTCCTCACCTCCCAGGTTTCACAGCGCCCCCAGCAGGCATCGGTGGTGATGTGCAGCCCCCCACAGCCAGGTTTCTTAGCCAGGAAGGTGAACTCGCGCACTGCACAGCCAATGAAGTGCCGCAAGTTGGCAGCCGGGGCTTGTCCAGCCATCCCAGGGCTGAGGGCTGCCAAGAGCGCCATGCTCCACAGGAATGTCAGACACCACCTACAGGTGTGGAGGACACACTGCACAGGATGAGAATCCAGATAACAGGGGCCGTGTCACGTCACACTCACACAACAAAATGACCTTCTGCTCATATCACTTTGCCCTGAGCCTTTTTTCATTTGCAGCAACAGTAAAGAAGAACGAATAAGCATTTTCTAGTGCTCTGGGCTGTACCGTATGAAGGTGTGAGACGCACTAATCCCTAATAATGGCTCTGTGATGCTCCCCAGAGCTCCAAGGCTCATTGTTTTATGTTCCCTCCACCACAAAGTGGTCATAAATCAACAAGATCAGTTAACAGAAATGCACACCATCAGCACTCAGCTGTAATGTGGCTGCTCTGTAACGCATCTGTCTGTTTCCTCAGCTAACCCGCTTGCATTGGCGGCTCTTATTGGCCCGATGAGTGACAGAGGACACAGGCGTTCGGCTAATCAGCGTAGCAACAGCTGGTCAGTAGCTTTAACAGAAGCTCATTTATACTGTCAGAGAAAAGGGTGCAGCCCTGGTACAGTTTTGTACCCCAAGGTACATTAAGCATTAATGTACCCCCAATGATACAAACATGTTCCTCAGAGTCCATTTCTTTACTTTAAACAGCACATTTTGTTACAGCTAGGGTACAATTGAAGATGTAGCCCCAGTGACAAGTAACTGTACCCTCAAAGGTACAAATTGGCACGTTTTTCTGACACTCCAGCAGGCTAACCATTCCCCTGACCTCGATCAGTGTATTTCACCTATATCTGTAGCAGTATAAATGGTTATTAACATAGAGATAAAACAACACCAGCTGCATTATCCACAGAGTACTGGGGCTCCTTGTCTGTACTCACCAAGGTGTTGCACTCCCCAGGGCGTTCATCTGTGGTCCAGAGCACAGGGCAGGTTCTGCTGAACTGGATCTACTGCCAAAGAAGACCTGGTTGCAGACTCGTTCTCCGGTTTTGTTCCTGCAGTCGGTATAGTGTGGCGTTTTATACATGGGTGAGCTGTCAGTCAAGGGACATCCTGGGGCGGCTGTTCACAAAGGATAATAGTTCTATTATTGAACTTAAAAACACAGGAACATGCTTGTGCCTGGCTGATCTGATCACTGGCAGTGACCTCACTCTACTAAATACCTCAGGTCCCAATTGCATTCTTCTGATTAGAGTAAATGCCTTTATTTAGAGTGACATGCTGAGCTTTAGTGTCAGGGTGGCTCAGTGAGTAGCACCGTTGAATAGAAGTTTGGGTATCCTCCCTTCTATTTGTGGAGTTTCCATGCTCACCCTATGTTGCAAGAGTTTCCTGTGTTAACTCTATTTTCTGTCTGTGGAGTATGGATGGTTGGACATGCTGAACTTAAGAGTTTCATGCTTTACTTCCTGAGGCTACTCAGGTCTTGAAGCATGGATGCTTGTCCAGGGAATCGTAGCTAGATCCCTCCATGTGCTGTCCCCAGTGGCATCTTGCTGGCGTTGCATCTGCAGGGCCTCTGAATGTGGCATGCTGGCTCAGTTTGAGCATTTGAGTGGGACCACAGGCTCCTGACCAGCCAGTGTTCGAACGCGAAAGTATCTGGCCTCATAGGCAGAGGTAACGGGTCTTGACCACACTTGAGTCTGGTGTGTGGTTTGTGTGGAGTGTCCTGTATTGCCGTGCCCTGCACTCATCCCATGAACAGTTGAAGTCCAACATGTGGTAGCAAGCCCCAAACCCCACTACTCTGAATCTACATTTTATTGTTAATCCCCCTTATTCTAGGCAAGGGCTTCCTCCCTGCCTAATCATGCCCTGCAGCCCTCCATCCACTAGGGGGGCCTTCCTCACCCATCCCCAGCATTACATCGCTAGGCTCATTAGCTTAATGGAGAATAAGCAGCACTTTTGTTTGCAACCAGCCAGGGGTAAAAAACAGAGATCATCTATGTGTCCTCCCGCTGAATGGTGCTGCCAGTCCCGAGGGCGAGGCCTGCTGCCTGGGGGGGCTCACTGTTATGCTCTCAGTGGCGGGTCACCTGGAAACTGAACGGGCTCCCACACACAGGGGGAGGGATCCGAGGAATTGGTGCCAGAGCACTGGGGCTGCCTTTGCTGCCGGCTACACCTGAACACCAACATCTGCGTGGCACCGGCGCCATCGTCAAGTTTGCCCATAAAACCACAGTGACAGATCTGATCACCTGCAAAGAGTCAGCGAGGATGACAACCAGCAAAACAGAGCAAGCATTCATCGACTTCTAGAAACTTGGTGGTGAACACACCCCTAATTTTCCAGTAGGAAGGATTGGCAGCTTCAGGGTTCCCTGGAGTCCACAGCAATGAGAACTCAACATGGTCACGTATCACCAACAAGATGACCCATAAGTCAGTAACAAAGTACTGTACTTAACTACTTTTTTCAAATATCTGTACTTCTTTTGAGTATCAGTTTTATTTAGAAACATGACTTTTACTCCACTGCTTTTGAAAGACAAATACTGTATTTTTGACACATTTGACCACGTTTGGTTCTTGTTACTTGTAACTGATGCATAGCTCTGAAGTCAGCAGATGAATTTTCTTTTCTAAAATGTTATAGATAATGCTGTGTTCATCACAGGAGACAAACCTTTCACAATAATCTACTCCTAGCCTGGTCTTCCTATCTAAATGGGGACCGTCCATTCATTTCTATGGGAAAAACCATAATCCCAGTCATGACACCCTTAACCTCTACCCATCCCTAACCTTAAGCAACCAACCCAAATACAAGACTTTTGGCTTTTTTCCTTTTTTGATTGCATTCACAGATCTTTGTGAAGACCTGAAAACTGGTCCCCACAACGTCAAAAAAGCAGGTTTTTATATTGTGTGGAACATTTGGTCACTGGAACATTAAAAAGTGAAAGTGACAATGGCTCTAATTTAGTTGAGTCGTTTGGTGTTTTATAGGCATTGAAGCATATTCCACAAGCTTTTTATTCTACAGGTTCCATAAGCAAGTCAGTACACTCAGTAGGTTATTTCAGGTTCTGTAAATGTATTGTGGCAACAATAAAACGATGCATTGACATTACGAAAGAAAATGACTTTTGAATATTTAAGTATTTTAAAAGCAAGAAATGGAGCTGTGTGCTTAGGCCAGTTCAGCCCTACGTTCAAAAAAGGAATATGTGGCTATTGAAAAGACGATTGGCACGTTCGCTTGGTTATACTGACCTCTAGTGTTCATTTTAAAAAAATCATGAATTAAACCACGGCTAAATCAGGCGTCTTTAGAACCGGGTTACTCATATTCTTAGTAAAATATCACCTATATGAGCAGCCATATTGCGGAAAATACTGAGCCGTTAAAGCATGAAGAAAATTTGATATTGACGCACGTGCATAATTGATTTACTGACTGGAAGAGCCTCGAAAACTAACAAACGGTCTTGTACAAAGTCAAGGTTTTATATAAGCGCCGTCTATAATAACTGGTACCTTGAAGAGTTGTTACGGTCGCATTAGTCTGTGTTTCATTGCGAAATAAACCCATTAATTATTAACACGTTTATTTCAAGTGACTATTTCAGGGTTGCCAACCAGTCAGATGGCTGAAGCGAGTTTTTCAATTCGAGACAAGTCTGCATGCACATGCATTTACTTGTATGTAGCAGTTTTATTACCTTATAAATAGTTTGTAGTGTTTCCAAACTACCCCAACACCTTTGATGTAGCTAATGTAAGATTTATAACGGAATAATATAGATGTGCCGTAAGATTTCTCGCGTGAACGTGAGAGTCTGAAAGCGTGAGTAACTCTGCTGTTTTTTCTGTTTAGACAGTTGGATATTTTTTTATAAAGTAATTTGTGTTTAGAGGTTGATCGAAGGGTATAAGACCATCTTCCCTCCTAGGAGTTAAACGTTTAATTTATTAGTAACAGACCGTTGCTTAACCGTTAAGGTGCCCTCCCCCCCAACCTCCTACAGTACAGTCTGGGAACAGCATGTACGAAGGCTGGGAATTGAGGAAATACAGGGGCGTCCATAACGAGATTAAACCGTCTGTTTGGTAGCTGCAGACAATTTATCGGTTTGTTAGGGGAAAAATAACTTAAGACAACAGTTTCTTGACTTTTAGTAAATGAGGCTAAGTGTCCGCGCGGGCCGTCAGAAACCAGCACGCGCCTCTTGGCGGCGGTGTGTCTTTCTCTTTGACTGACCCCCACTCACAAACAATACGGTGTTTTTTTAACCCCCAAACAAGGTTGCGGTCACTTTCGAGAAAAGTACATTCCTTTGGGAGTTTATTAGAGGGTACTGTCAAAAAAACAAGGGGTCTACTAATTCATAGGTGATTACTATTAGTAACTTATCCATAAATAACGTAAACTGGGTGACGTAACAGAGTTGTGCGAACCGACATTATCTTAAGACACCGAATGTATTTGTAACAGCGCGACCTGGCATCAGATATCCTAAGCCCGCCTGACATTAGCATGCAGGTGGACAGCCAGCGCAGGCATCCGGCTCCTCGCTGATATATTTAGCGGCCTCCGCCCCCACGGAGGTGTGGGACTCTCCACATTTGGCCCCGGTGGGTGGGACTGCATGTGTCAAACACCCAGCGCTGGCAAATCCAATCCACCCCTTTACAAATCATATGGCTTAGCTTGGCATATGTGACCGGTTTGGTCAGCCGGACTTCGCAAACTCTTTCTGCCTTTAATTTCTGTAAGTATTCCTGATGGAGCTCAGAAGTGCTTTTCCAGTCAGGTGTTTGATTAGAAGCGAGATCTGCAGCTGGATTTCTGCGGGGAATTAGCCGGGTCTTGACGTCAGGCCAGTAACGCAGATTCAGACTTGGTTTAAAGTTTCGACCTATAAATGTAGCGATCTGTTTTTTGTAGGAGCCGTACTAACATTAACGTTTGGGCACTTTCATTGTTCGTTTAGTTCTACATAGTTATTGCTCCACTGGTATTATCTGTGTGACTCCATAGATAAAGATATGAATAATGGATTGAGAGGGCATCGGTAACCTGCTAGTGGTGCCTTTTCCCCAAGGGCGGACTCGTCACCAGTACCGTGTGGCTGCCGGTGGGCTATTCTTAGGATGACAGGGTCGCATCACTGGCGAGTCCCTGCCACTAAGGGGTGCCTGGCATTAAGGTACAGCAGCACAGGAGGGCGCACAGAGGTCAGAGAGACACAAAACACAAAAACTAGCTCCTCTTCTTGTTGTTATGGATCTGATGTTGGTGACATTTGAGTTGGTTTGGTTGCATTGTTTTCTTTTCGCCCAAAGGAAATTGTGTGTATGTGTATAACATGTTAAAGAAGTAGATGGATCAGAGAATGATGTGCATTTATAAAGTGCCTGCCATTATTAAGGGAGGTCGCATCCTTTGCCATTTGTGTATGTCTATGTGTGTTTTTGTAAATATGTGGGTGTAATTTCATCTTATAATGTTTTTTTGGAGGCTTGCTCTACCAGTAGTCCAGGGTGTAATAAAAATGTTGGGGGAAAAAATCCCACAGTTCAGACTGAGCTGACAGGGGAAACTGTACACCGGATAACCTCTGAACCCCGGTCACTAGGCGGTGACAAGTTCTGCATCACAGCTGGCCAGATGTGGCCCGCTGCTGCTTGTAACCCGTGAGACCTCCTTATATGGAGACACCCTTATCTTGAGTAGGTCCTTGTTTTTGTGAGTTTCATATTTCCTACATTCTGAAGCGCAGCAAGTTAGGGCATAGTGGTTCTATAAAGGGTCCAACAGCAACATCCTACCTGCCTATATTTGCCCAGACAGTTTGGGATTTTCGGTGAGCCACAGTTAAAATGTTTACTGAGCTGCTCTGTGTCCCTAACCTGACTTAAAAGGATGCTACTCAGCTACTGTTGAATCTGCTAGGTGAGGCTTATATGCTGCTGAACCCATGAAGAATGCAATGGCCATGTCTTGAGTCTCTATAATTTATGGCTCATTGCTATGTAGCTACTTCTGTTTGGGATTTTGTTGACTTTCTCATGCGTTGACTGTGTTACATTCACTGGCTGCTGATGAGTTCCATGGTCATCCATCTTTGACGTCTATGACAACCAAGAACAGGTATAGCAATCATATCAGTACTCGGTTGTCTGTGAAATGACGCTGAATTAAATAGATAACAGAATATATATTTATCATAAGGGGGTAAATGAGGTTCTCTAGTACAACAGCTTTCTTTGGGGACAGGGTGGGATGGTTTGATGGAGTGGAACCCTGTGACTAGGATCAGTCACCATTCAGCTGTGTAAAGAACAGTCCGTGGCCTTCATGTTCATGTAGCTGTGGAGTAAGAGTGAGGATCATGCAAGGCGTCACTCCCAGCCCCACTATGATTGAGCACTTAAGACTAAAAATATCTCTAAGGAAAATGGAGCCAAGTCACTCTTAGACTTTTTAATGCTTTCGCTGCTTGCTCTGTGTTGGCTGCCCTGCTGATTTTTTATTAATGGGCTTGTAGCTCTGGCCGCTCCTTATTGCCATCACTCAATTAAGTTTACTCGTAATCATTTAAAATGAATTCTTTGGTTTAGTTGCCCCAAAGTGTTTAATGTAAGGTCATGCAACAACATTACAATTCCACCTGAAAATGTACATATTCCACATTACATGTGGAAGCCATGATCAGTGCACAGTGAGTTTGTTGTTGTTTTAGCTGAAGTGAGAGTTGTACAATACTAACCGTGTGAACCATTTGGCATTAGAGCACTGCCACCTTTCTTTCCCTGCTTTGGGAATGTAACAGGGTCCTGTGAAGGTCTTACCCTTGAGCATTTTGCAGAGATTGGGCAAGCAGAACAATGTATGTTTGTGTAACGGAGCTGAAATGTACTATCTTTACCCTGGGGGGGAACACCACTCACCAAACTCGAGTCTGCGCGATGCTGAATATCAGCACTGACCAAGCAAATCTTGAAACATTTAAACCCAAGTCAAGCTCCAGCCAAAAGAATCCATCCTTTCAGGGGCTGCTAAAAGCCTGGGGGAGTGGAGCCCCCCACCTCTTCAGTCAGGGCTTTGTGGACACGTTGGTGTGGCCTGTGAATGTTCATCTTCTGCCCATTAAATCGGTTACCTTCTTTTATTAGTTTGTGTTGTTCCAGTGCGGCCCACTACAGACTACCCTTCTCAGGCTCAGTCTTTGCTCACGAGTATGATGGGTGACATTTATTTGGGGGGGGGGAGCGTGGTGGGGGTGGGGGGTGGTGGCACTAGCAGCTCTTGGGTATTAAAACAGCTGACAACAAGTTCCAGATACCGTAGATTCCACACATCAGAGAGGCAGGGAAGCGAGTCGCGCCTGTAACTCAGGGGTGGGTGTGCTTGTTTATGTGAGAGCCTCAGACTCTCTGTCTTATCAAATAAATACAGGGAGGGTTTTTATGGAGGCAGGTGGGATATTTTCATTTCACAATAATGTTTATTCTGCCCTATTATAAAAGGGGCTACATCATGGGGTGATCAGTTAACTTCCAGGTTAAGTGTTGGCGTTTTGTGAAGTGCAAACTGAGCACACTTCCAAATAAACACCTTACTGTGTTTGGCAGGGACGCAAAAAGGCACAGTGGTCTAAGGAGTGTATGAAGCTATGGGTTGTGAGTCCAGCTTTTAGAAACAGGTGTTCTGTATTTAGTCAAATGGAAGAATGTGAGGTGAAAGAATAGGCCTGCTGCAAATACTGGAAATCATTTTTCATTTGGTGCATTTTGACTTCAGGCTGTTTTTCAGAGCACCACATACAATATCACACAATACACTAGGGAGGGAAATGTCACCTTTAATCATCTTGGCAAGAATGGAAAGTTATCTCTTTTATTATCAGTGAGCTGGTTTCCCTGTAGTCCTCATTACATGTTGCTTTGTGGCCATTTAACACCCTGTGTCATTCACTGTCTTTTGCTTCATTAATGTTGGGCTAGACGTGTTAGAAGTATTATAATGGTCTGGATCCTGAGCAGCGCAGAGCATCACCTGAGATGATATTTGATTACGCAGTGATTATACACTTTGTCTGTAGTAGGACTGCATAATATTGGAAGAATTCATATTGCAGTATTTGAAATTTGTGCTTCAGATATTGTGATATTTATAAAATGAAAAAGTAGTTGAAAATTTACCCAAAATAAACTATAGCCAAATAAAACATATACCAACAGAGTCTGTTAGTTAAGTTGGTGGTGTTTCCACGAGTTGTGCCAACAGACATAAAGAAGTGCCTAGACTTTTTTAAATTTCTCACAAGTGCACCACACTGTCTATGAGTGAATCCAAATTAAGGGTGGTTTTTAAAAACATTTCATACATTATCTTGAAATGGAACAATCATTAAAATTGCAAAGTTTGTTGCCTGTGACAGAGTAAAAATATTTTGGCAAAACTTACAGGTGGTCTCAACTCAGCTGTCACGACATGTGACAACATGCACGTGCATAACATGTGATATCTGTATTAAAATTGCACATTGTGCATTCCTAGTTTACGGTGTATAGTGCACAGTGTTCCCTGAACTCCTGTGACAAAATGCTCAGGAGATGGTGAATGAGAGCACTGATTGGATATATGAGAGAACTAGAGAGAGCCAATGAAACAGCTGGTGAATGTGTTCATCCATGTGTGGAATACATGACACACTGCTGTGATGCTGCATTGTGTTACCTGTCCCCATGTTGACTTGTCTCTTTGCTCCTGTCTGATTGCACGTTTTATCTCTCTGACAGGCATCCTGCAATGCACCCTGGGACTTCTCTGTGACCTTGTTTCCCTGGAAGCATGGCATCGGACAACCGGGCTGGACATGCCGCTGAAGAGGCAGGGTCTCTCCCGCTGGACATCGACAACATGCACATGCTTCTGCAAGGTGAGTCTGAGAGGGAGGTCAGTGCAAGGGGGTTTTCTACTCAAACATGTCCCTAGTGTAGCCTCTGCTGGTACCATAGGCATCAAGAAAGTTGAGATATTATCATGCACTGGTCATTGGTAAACCTGGCACATACAGCTGCCTGAGGTCATAACTAGAGGTTAAATTGCAGAAAATAATCTTACTGATCTTTGGGGCTTTGTTGAAAGGCTCAGAGCCAACGCCTTCTTAAGCTCGTCCCATCGGGGGTCCACAAAAGTGCTGTAAAGGGCCCTGTTATGCTCATTTTCACTGTTCAGAATGTTATTTTTGCGGTGTCCTAAAATAGATTTACATGCTTCAATGTTCCAAAAACACATTATTTTTCTCATACTGTATCTCTATTCACTCTGTCTGTAACTCTGAAACACTCTGATAAATCCACCCACGATGAGATTAGAGAAGAGTAGTTTCTGTAATGAGTGGCTCCGGGCCTTAGACTTTGCAGACCATTTGCATCTACATAAAGCAATATAACACACTAAAGGAAAGGGAAAAAGAAAAGCGTGATAGGACCCTTAAAGTGGATTGATGCTATGTTGTTACCTGTCCGTCACATGCAGGATGGTCATGTAGCTCAAATACAAATTCATGCTGGGAAAATGAGCCTCCCTGACTTTACAGTTGTCCTTCATGCAATGCACATTCAGTGACCACAGTGTCTCATTGTCATTACAATCAGTTACCAGGTTTGTTACCCGGCTACATACTTGAATACTAAGTTACCAAAGCTGATTGTGAAGATGATAGAAAACGGGGGATAAAGAGCATGTGATGGAACAGGGAAGAGCACCAGACTGATAAACCTGTCAACTGATAGTATGTAGACTAAAATACCATGCATCAGATATGCATCACCATCAAACAACCACTTAAGCAGCTCTGTTGAACTTGGATGACTTAAATGACCGTAGTAATAGCAGTACACCAGAGAACATCATGTAGAGAAGGCCGTGTTGGAGTTCTGTCCGTAATCAATTCAAGTTCTTATTGAAGTTCTTCAAGTTCTTAAAGAAAAAAGATCGTCTTCTTGTACCCAGTGGATCTGCAGACCACTGAGATGTCTCTGTTAGTATCCATGGGACAAGTGGGAGCCGGTGTTGGATTTCATGGAAGAGCTGCCTGAAAATAGCTCAGAGAGTGACCCCAGCAAGGGCACGTAAGAGTTGGCGGGTAGGCAGTTTAGTGGAGACCCTGTCCTCTTTCTCTGAATCAAATCTAGGGAGCTTAGGAAATGTGGAAGGTCTGACATGCGTAACGTCATGATTCATTAATTTTCCAAGACGCATGGAATATTTCAGTTTACAACCTGTAGTCATGAATGGTGTTATTGTGATTTGTTTTCCTGGTAACAAACAAATTTCATCCTGAAGGTGACCTACAACCAGAATTTACGTATGTGTTGTGATATGATTAACCAGTTAGGTGCTTTTGGTAAGCAATCCCTAACCTCTTAGGGTAACGTGCATTCAGTAAGCAATCCCTAACCTGGGAGGGTAAAGTACCTTCAGTAAGTAATCCCTTACCTGTGAGGGTAATGTACCTCCAGTAAGTAATCCCTTACCTGTGAGGGTAATGTACCTCCAGTAAGTAATCCCTAACCAGGTTCTATAATGTGGGATAGGCTGTCCAAGCAGCTCATAGCTGCTAGCCACTGGCGTGTAGCACATCTGCAGCAATTTTGCGTTTTGCCATCGAAGAAAAAGCAGGTCACTTCAGTCGCGCTAGGAGACCAGGGGAAGCACTCTTTTCAGTGGTTACCCTGGGCTGTAGTTCCAGTCATAGCCAAGTGTCTGGTGGTCAGTGTCACCAAATAACATCCCGTAAATGTGCAGTTCAGCACATTCATCCTGTGCACTTGAAGCCTGGATGATTGTTTTTGTGTAAATAACTCTCACCTGCTATGATACAGGCTGTGAAGAACCCAAGCCCAGTGCACCTCACACGTAGTGCAGTGTTGTGCCAAGCAACAAGCTTGTTGTTGTCTGCTTGCCATTGTTAACAATTGGTGAAATTCATAAATTCAGATAATTTAGAGATTGTCATTGTCATGTATTGCTATATATGTAATACACACACACACACACATACATACATACACATCTATATGTACATATATATGTACACACACATATATATGTACATATATGTGTGTATATATGTGTATATCTCCTTTTTACTTGAACTTTCTTGTTTATCTCATCGCAATTCTCGATGGATTATCAGAGATTAAATAGAATTCATATTTCACCACAGTCCTTAATTCCCCTACAGAAGGTCCACATTATTTGGTACGCCAACAGTCTGTTCCTGCAAAAACATGAAAATCATGTGGCTGCGACTCGATACATAAAGCTTGCAGGTAGGCTTAAGATGTTCAGAAGTGTCTTATAGGCTTCCCAAGCTGGTTGGGGACACATCTTAACTTCTGAGCAATGTATTTGGAGCTGGGTCTGCTGCTTAACTTTAGCCCAGGCTCCAGTCTGATCAATGTAAAAAGCAGCATAAGGATCAAATATTTTTGTGGCACTCGCTCCTCTTGAGCAAAAGCAGCAACGATCTCTGAGAAGCCCCAGATTGTGTCCTTGGCCTGACATTTCACTTCCCCTGGTTCTGGGTCTCTGGAAGGGACACCTGGGCCACGGGAGTTTCCAGAAGATGGGAAGTCAGGAGGCACGCAAATGGATTAACAACATGATGAAACACCAAATGACCGTCACTGTGTGAGAGACATTTCAGAGCTTGTTGAAATTGACTTGCCTGTCAGCTCTGCTGCTAAAGAGAGCTTAATAAGACACTTGTAGTTTACATGGATAGCAGGATCAGTTCGTGCCATCTTGTGCACATTCAGATGGCACTTGTTCTGGTATTAGCCTGCAGAGCTGATGCAATAGACGTGATTCAGCTGTTGGATATCATGAGGATAGAAGAGTTAAGTTTTCTCTCAGGGTTACATACCCGACCAGGAAGGATTTCCTATTTCAGTGCAGGCAAACACATACACAAACACATTCAGCTGTGGCTGAAAACAATGATGCAATTTATTTTCTGGTTCCCTTTTAACAGCACAAAAGTTTTCAAGATGTTTTAGACTGTCCTCTCTGTACTGAAACCATTAAAAGCAATAAAACTGTAAAGTTGTTGAGTCCCCTGAAATGCCAGACTCTGATAGTTTTGTCCTCCACAGTTGAACAGGAGCAGATTCAGAAGAGAACATTCACCAATTGGATCAATGCACAGCTCTCCAAGGTTAGTCCCAAACAAGAAGAAGTATCATACCTTTTTAATCAGTTACTAAAGAAAGAAGAAACAGAGAATCATAAGAAATCAGATGACTAAATTGACTTTCTTCTGCTGCTGTATCAAATACCAAAGGTGTTTGTGAAAGACTGAGTCATTGGTTTGATTAGAAGTAGTCCTGCATGGACCCCCCCTACTCTGGAATGGGTCTAGTGTGCATGTGACAGGGGCTGAGATATTAATAGAGTTCTAAGAGCTGAACATGCAGACCCAGAGCAACAAGAACCACACCCCCTTGCCATTTAACTGCTCTAGTAATGCCTAGTAGTGACTGTCCTGTGAAAGAGCCTGATTTTCCCTCTGTCCATGTAGTGTTACGGAATTCCATTTCTACTGGAAATGTATTTACATTTATGACTGGGGCTGCCTTTCCATTACCCCACACAGAAAATGAGCCACTCTGCCTTCTTAATTTTGTGGCAGTAGTCATTTGTGGACCTACACCCACCCCTGGGTTGCTTTTCCACATTTATCTGGGGTGGTAAAATGGGTTAGATTTTGGAAGGATTGTAATTCTACAAGTGACCTGATGGTGGCAGTGTAATGACTAGTACAAATCTCTGCTATTCACCAGAGGAAGCCGCCATGTGCAGTGCTAGACCTGTTTAGTGATTTGAGGGATGGGTCTCGGCTGCTGGACCTGCTGGAGGTTATGAGTGGTCAGAGAATGGTGAGTTCTGTGGGAGAACTGGGAGCAGGGTCCTTTTGATTTTCTTGGAAATAGGGACCAGGCATTTCCATAGCTGACCCCACTGTGCTGCTCCTAGAGTCGGGAGAAAGGCCGAGGTTTCTTCCAGGAAAGAAGCAACATCGAGACAGCCCTGTCCTTTTTAAGGAGGAAATCAGTGAGTCTCACTCATTCCCCAGTGGTTTGATTCAGCTGCCATGGATGTCCTGATGGTTATGGGCATTAAATGTTACAGTGTGAGGTCATTCTTTGTGCTGGCTTGTGTGGTTGCAGATCAAACTGGTAAACATCCACATTCCTGACATAATTGATGGCAAGCCCTCCATCATCTTAGGTCTTGTGTGGACCATCATCCTCCACTTTCATGTGAGTGTTCTACTGTTGGTTCACATAATGTCCCATGCTTTTGCAAATGGGGAACAGCTGGAACAAGTAGTCAGGTTTTCTGTAGCATAACATTGGACTATATGTCTTGTTAGGTTACACAGTTTGTCTGTACCCTGAGGTATTTGTCAGGTATCTTTTTGACCTTCATAACTCAATCAGATGCAGGGTGCAAATTATATGTACACATTATCTGCAATGGAAATTAACCATAGCACCACTCAGTTGTTAAAACCCAGACTGCTAATAATGTGTAGATCTCGAGGCTTTATTTAATAACAGGTATTTTCATTAATATTAGACCTCTAGTTGGGGGAGAAAAGCAGCCGTTTTCTTTGCATGTGGAATTGTGTCCCCATAACCGTAAGTGTACCCCTTGTCTCTGACTTTTCATGCTGCTCCAGATTGAGGAGCTGGCCAGCACGCTGTCCTTCACCTCACGCCAGTCCTCCATAGAGTCACTGGCCAGCCTGGACTCTAACTCAGTGGCCAGCAGCAGCTCTGCCCCCCGCCATGGCTCTCCCCTGCACACACGCTTTCGCATCTCTGCCAAGAAGGCCTTGCTGCTGTGGGTCCGTGAACAGTGTCATAGGTGAGCCCCTTGTCCTAGAGAGGTTACCGTGTTCTATTCACTTCTTTATACACTGTGATAAGCATTGGTCCAACTGTGTCATCCTATGTGACGCCCCACAAACTGCCCATGTCCGGCTCAGACCGCCTATGCTTTTTGTCATTGGAAGGGCCGGTTGTACCCTCAATGTCAAAGACTTTAAATCCAGTTGGCGGAGCGGTGTGGTCTTCCTGGCCATCCTACACTCCCTTCGTCCCAACCTGGTGGATCTGTCCAAGGCCTGGAACAGAACCAACAGGCAGAACCTGGAAGAAGCTTTCCGGATCGCAGAGAAGGAGCTGCACATCCCCAGGCTCCTGGAACCTGCAGGTAACCGCAATGCATTGCACCTGGACTGGGTCTACAATGACGCTGAGGAGACTCCCACACTCTGATTGCGCTGACATTTTGAGACTCCATTTGCTAACGCTTGTTCCTGCTTCTGTCCTTATGCAGATGTAGACATTAGAGACCCAGATGAAAAGTCCATAATGACTTACGTGGCTCAGTTCTTACAGTACTCAAAAGAAATGCCTGTATCAGAGGAAGAAATGCAGGTATGTCTTTTGTCTCATGGCAATAAGAAATATATCCCTTACTCCTTAGAGTCACCCCTCCCCCACTCTATAGTTGTGCTCTCAGCATTTGACCTTTCACCTATCTCCATTTCTGTGCAGACACATTACTTGACAACTCCTAAGTGCCTCTCTCCTATCAGCCTTCCCACGCACTTCACCCCTGCTGTTGGTGCCTCCTCCCTGCGCCAGGTAGATCACCTGCATGGAGCCTATTTTGCAACAGCATGCCACGTTGCACTGGATACACAGATATACAGTATTTGTGCTAAGGCATTACTTTTTCTTTGGGGCTGATTTCCATTGTGTCTTGTTCACAATAAAAGGGGGGACGGTTCCTTTTGACCTTGTCAGACAGAGTTATGTTATTATGGAACCTTATTATAGCACTCTGTCCTTTTAGCTGGGCTTGGCTTTGACCTTATTAATGCTCAGTCTTTGAAGAAGGGATTTAGTGTTTTTCGTGGGAGATATGCTGCTCAGTACTGTATTGTTTGAGGCAGGTAACGAAGTTGATGTTGTGGCATTCGTAGTAGTCTGCTCTAGCTGAGGTGGTGTCACATGTTTGATCTAGGAGGATGGTATAGTGGCTCATTGTGTAGCTCTGGTGCCTCATACTTCCAGGTTTGAACGCTGCCCCCCCGCTTAGTGTGCTTTTGTGTGTGTGTGGAGTTTCCGTCGCGCTCTCTCTGCATTGTGTGATTTTAGTCTGGGTATTCTGGGCTTCCTCCTGCAGTCCGAAAACATATTGAGATTACCTGGCATCTCCAAATTGCCTGAATTACGTGATTGTGTCCGTGAGTCTGCCTTGTCTTCTATCCTACCTGGCCTGGCTCCAGCCCCCCGCCCCCCATGCAAACCTGTACTGAATGAGTGATTGCAGGATGGATGGATGGATGGATGGATCAAAGACTATGAATTAATCTGTACCGGAAGTTTATGCACAAATAGATAATTCTGGAATGGGTGTAATGTGTTGAACTAAGACTAGTGTCTCAGCTTGAGTCGATACAGCTGGGCCAACAGGCACTTCAAAATTCAAATAATTTCCTATTATTGGATATGTTGTTTGAGGTCACTTTGGAGAAATGGATCTCTAGTAGGGAACGAGATTGTTTGTTTGAATGGTAGCCTTTATCTCATTGTGGGTTGTTGACACAGGTCTGGACATTTTGTCTGTTGGTATCTGTCATGTGCCCTGCCCTGCCCTGCCCTGATTCATGACCCCCCCGATGGTGTATTCTCTGATCAGGCACATCTGCTTCGACACACCCTGGTCAGAGCATCTCCATACCATATAACTGAATCTGACTCCAGGCATTCAGCTCCAGGGGTAAACTCTGTTTATGCCCATCCACCCAGCCTGCTGCCCATAACTGCCGTTTCCTTCCCTCTGGATTGTCTTACTGCTTGTCCGTTTTATTCTTATTCGTCATTGTTTTCTATAATTGCTTGGGTCAAATGTAGTGTTTCCAAAAGTGCTGCTATGACTTTGCATCCATAATCCCCAGTCAAGTAGGTGATCATCCATTCATCAATGATGGCTTCCACTTAGAAAGGAATGGTGCTGGGTCTTGCCCACTGACTTTGCAGAACTTCTACCCCCACCATTTTATAACACTTGTTAACTCACAACAGCATTTGCAGCCTAATCTCTAGAAAGAAACCTCTAGGAAATTAAGGTGAGTTTTGTAGGACAATGATTCTGCTACTCTGTTCAGCCTATGATGTTTCTGTCCTTAAAGCAGACCTCTGCCAATGAGAAGGCCAGAGAGGTGACCGGCTGGCTGCTGCAAGCCTATGAGGAACTTCTAGAGGGGTGGGATTCCACAGAGGGAGAGAGCTATGCTGAGAGGTACCACGTAAGTGTTGCCGTGGACACCATATACACATTCAAGTGAAGGGAGAAGAGCGGGTCAGCATCACATTTAGTATAAGTGAAATTTAACCTAATTGAAAGATACTGTGGAGGTTGATCTAAATAGTGGAGGCCCATTGACGTGGTAGGTTGTTGGCTGACTGCCGCGGCATGTGCCACTCTCAGGTCTTCCAGACCTTCTTGACATCTTTTAATGAACAACGGAGGCCAGTTATGCCCCTGCTGACCGCCATGCGCCGAACCCCCCAGCTGAGCAAGGAGCAGCGTGCCCTGAGGAGTGCTTGGGATTCGCTGGCAGAGAAGGTCAGTTGATTAACTGTATACATGCATATGTGGTGGACGTCCTTACTACATTGGTGCATGTATTATGTTTGACCTGAGTGCGTGGCATCTGCAGCTGCGGAAATACAAAACAGAGCTGGACCTGAACCTGCCTGGTCCCCTGGACTCTGTGGGCCACTGGCTGCTGCGTGTGGAGGAGGTGCTGGCGACAGAGATTGGTGATGCCCAAGACCATGACCAAGCTTCTCAGGAGGCCCGGAGCAAGCTGGACCTTCTCAAGGTCTTTATTTCCACCTTCTTGTTCTTTCTTGTCCTGGTATTATCCTTCTAGCTGGTGTTCTTGTTCCTTAGCCTGAACTTTGTCTTCTGACAGACATCATTGGAGGAGATGGGTTTTCAGCTGAGGACTGTCAAGACTTTCCACAACATGGATGAATACGGGGCTATTTTGGTGCCCACAGACAAGCTGGATGAGCTCAAGAGAAGGTTGTATTTCAATAAATGCACTACATGCCCAGTCTTCAGCCCAATCTCATTACCCCAGTGTGATGGTTCTGTTACGCCGTGCTTCCCCCACAGGTTCACTAGTATAAGGGTTACAGCCAAGTACCACAGCATCAAGCTGGAGTACCAGGAATACCGGCACATGGTTCTGCATCTGCTGGGCCGGATCACAGATAAGCTGCGGACCTGGAAGAGACCCTGCAGCTCCCAGGAGGCTGTGCGTGTGCTCCTGCAGGACTGGCATGTAAGTGACCGGCCAGCAATTTGCCATGTCAGTCACCACTTCAGAGTGTGAAGGAGCGTAGTGAGTTTTGCATTTGGCATTATTTTTTTAGGATGACAATGCATTTATACTGCTGCAGTACCCTGAGTAAGTTATTCTTAGATATGAAGAGTCCCACACCATTCTTTTTTTGTTGGGTCTCAAAGCCCATGTGGGTGTTTGTGGCTTCAAAGAAAACACGTCTGTTGCTTCAAGTGAGCACTTGTTTGCTGTGAATCTAGGCAGTGAGGTGGATGAGAGTGAGACGTTGTGATGAAGAAGGAATGTTCTGTGCTGATGTGCTTTATTGAACGATTAATCTCTCACACATTGCTGTCAGCCCTAACTGCTCAGAACAGCCTCAGACTGGCCGCACTTGTTCGTAAATTAAAAACTGGGCTTTGTGGCATAAGTCATGTGACATGAGAATCAGTCTTTGGTGTTAATGTAAAACAGGCCAGCGCAGAATGGGGCGAAAATGCAAGAAGTGACAGTGGTGGGGGGCGTTTGGAGTGAGGAAACTTCAGCGTTGTCAGCAGAAGCATGAAGCAGAAGGCCTTGACTGCCCTGTATGTTTTCTAAGGACACTGTGGAGAAGGAGGATCTGCTTTCCCTTCTGGAGACCAATCTGCTGAAGCTGAAGCTGATAGCCAGCAGATACACAAGCAAGTCAGCACTCGGTAGGCGTGTAGAGTCTTTGAGGTGCTCCTGCGTGTTTAGAAGCACACTGCTCACCATGCTCGCTTGCAAATCCATTTCAATTAACTTTTCTCAGAAAGCGACTCAAGCTGCCTATGCTGTTTTTTGCTCAGTAAGCACCATCACTTATAATAATGAATGACCTGTCTATGTTATCTGCAGAGACCTAACATTTCACACTGAAATGGACTTCATCAGTGTCCTGCTTGTAATTTTAACAAGGCTCCATTAGGGAATTGCTCGTCACAGGAATTTCAGGCACCCCCCCTCCCCAATGACTGCAAAATAGGAACACCAAATACAATCTCTGACAGTGTAGTAACTGTTTAGTCAGAATTACTAGGTGAAACAAGTGGGTCAATTGCGATGTTGAATAATAGTTCCTCCCTCACTGTCTTAGTGGTAATAGGTTTGGTGGGTGATTTGTTCATGTATGTTTTTCTTTGGGCATGCTGTCCCCTAGCTGCTGACAACAAACAGATCAGCCAGCAGGTGAAGGAGGCAGAGACTGAGGCTGCAGCCAAAATGGAGGATGTCCCAACAGCGAGGGCCTCCTTGGGACGTGTTTTGTCTGCCTGGGACTCCTACCATGAGGCCAGCAGCTCTATACATGCCTGGCTGCAGCAGGACACTCAGTCCCATTTCCCCTCCCAGACACTAGAGGTACATATTCATTACCAGGGCTCAGGGTCGTTTTGCTGTAATAACATTGCACTACTTGCATGATAATTCATGCTTGGTGACACAGACGCTCTGTTCCCTGGGAAAGGGACGTCCTTTGTGTCACAATGTGTGTTTCTTTGCTTCTCAGGTGACCCCTGAAGCGACAGCCGAGTGGAATTCCCTCCAGACGCACCTAAATGAGGTAGGGGTTTTCCTGACTGAGGTGACTGATCCACGGACGAGCCGTCTCTTGGCTGACGAGCTACATAAGGTTAACACGCAGTGGGCTGACTTTGTGAAGAGAAACAAATTAGTAAGTATGAAACATTTCCTTCCCCGAATTCCAAGCTAGGCCTCTGATTTAGGCAGCTGTGTCCCCTCATTCCAGTTCTGTCTGTCTCCCTGCTCCTTCTCTCAGGCTGCGGTTTCCCAGCCTGGCAGCAGCCACGAAAGTCCCCAGGCTGTTCAGGCCCTGGTGCGGGAAGCTGCCCAGCTGATGAAGGAGCCTGTGGAGGTGTCATCCGGACCCCTGCGCACGTATCGAAAGAGGCTGCAGGTACGTCTGAGAAAAAGCTATGATTCACACGGTGTCCTTACCAGTCGGCACCCTATAAATCCGGAATGGGTGGAACTCACAGATCCTTATGTCTGTGTTCCAGTTTATGTCGAAGAGGTTTGAGAAGGTAGACCTGGAAGATCTTGTCCCATCCCTAGACTGTACTTCTGAGATGTTGCAGAAACTCAGACTCTCACTCCCTGAGGTACTGGATCAATGTCCTGCATCAGTTTCTTTGTTTGAGCTATGTAACTCTGTATGTAATTAATCGTGTTATTTGTCTCTGTATATGTATATGTGTATGTAGGTGATGCACACAATTTGTGAGGCAGAGAGTGTCTGTGAGGAGCTGCAGCGGAGTGTGTCTGGACTAGACAGCCGACTGGCTGAGTTGCAACTTTGGGAGGTAGAGGCCAGAGAACTGTACTGCCACCTGCTGGAGGGGGAGGTCAGGTACAGCAGGGGGCAGGATCCAAGGGCCAGGGTAAGCTTCCTCAAGTGCTAATCTGGTCTTCACAATTAGATGTGTTTGCATGATTCATTTTCTTATTTTATTATCTTAAGGCAAAGTCAGTACGGTATATCATTGAATCTAAAGTTAAATGCAGCATTGAAAAATTGCATTGACATAATTTTTTTTTGTACTGTGCCCATGAAATTTATGATGTGAATGACAACTTAGATGTAAGAAGTCTACTTTGTGAGATCACATATAGACTGTGTTCATCGCTGTTTCCTTTTAGCCCTTTCACAATGCCAATTCCGTGTGTCCTGGGTCCCTTCCCAGCATTGCTTCTTTGATATCCACCAGGACATGATATCTCGTGGACTGCAGCTGGAGGGCCAGGTGGTGACAGAGGAGCAGGACCTGCAGGTCATGGTTATGTCAGCGCAGAAGAACTCGCCATTGCAGTATCTGATCGCAACTGTGATGCAGGATAGAGTGAGAGCGGCTGTGGCCCAGTCTCAGGTGCTGATTACAGTCCTCATAGTTTCTCCACTCTCAGCACTTTTTCAGTGTAATCTTCTGCTGTTTCTCCTGGGTGTTGCAGTTTTGGTTAGTCCCAGTCTGTTCTAGTGACACAGATAAAACAGAGCTATAAGATATACTCATCTTCAAAGTTCTTAGTAGGATGAGCCTTAAGGAAATTATCCTTAAAACTTACCACCTTTCTTACTGGATTTTATCACTGCTGAGAACATCAACACATATTATGTTACAGCTCTTCACAGAAGGGTTTCTTCTCCACCACAGGAGGCTGTAGGGTTGCTCAGCTCTGTGGGATCCAGACGAGACAGGAGTTCCACCGGAGATCAGCCACCGCCTAAGATTTTTGTACAAATGTGCACTGAAGAAGGATCAGAAATGCCTGGCCATGTTCAGGCACAGACCCTGCAACCCCAAGCTCTGCCACGGGATGAACCCCATCTTTCTTATCTATCTGGAGACCATGCAGAGCCCCAGGATGAGTCTCAGTCCCCACCTGACTTTACTCATAATTACACGGAGCTCCCACCACAGGTGCAAACCTACTCATATTTGCAGGGTATGACTGAGGCCCAGCTGCCACCCCAACTTCAGCCAGAACCCATTCAGCCTAGTGTATTTACCCAGACCAAGAATCAGCAGCAACCTCAAACTAAACCTCAAGCCCAAACTGAACCCAAAAGTCCTCAACGACAAATCAGCACCAGACCCTGGGCTAATAAAAACCCAGAGAGCCAAGTCCACACTGTATCCTGGGTCTATAACCAGACTCAGTCACCCTCCCCAGCTTCCTCCCAAACTTCATCTGAAGACCAGACCCAAGGTTACCCTCAGCCTCAGTTGCAATCTGCTCCTTGGCGCCGCATAGAAGCTGAATCATCTTTCACAGCTTCATCCACAACTAAGGCTGAAGCCCCAACACATGGCTATAATCAACCATGGGCTCAGGCTCAGTCCCAGGTTCCACCTAAATCCTTAGCCTTAACCCAACTTGAATCACAGGCCCAAACCTTGCCTCAGATATGGATTCAGAGTCAACCTCTGGTCCAGGACCAAACCCAACCCCAGTCCCAACCCCAGTCCCAGCCCCAGTCCCAGCCCCACTGTATACCTGCCACCAGGGTTCCAGTTCTCGCACAGGCCCCTCCCCGGGCCTACACTGAGGCCTATGCTAAGGCACAAGCGCTTGCTAGGGACAGGTTTGAGGAAGCTAAACATTGTTTACAAGACCACATCCTAGAGACTATTATGGCATTCAATGATAAAAGTATCTCTGAAGAGGAAGTCATAAAAAAGGAGGTAGGTAGTAACGTTTTAATCCTTTTTTTAAAAAAAAACAAACAAAAAAACAGAAAAACACCAATGATATTAGAATGTGAACTCAGAGCTATGCTATAGCTGAATACAAGATCAATAAAGCATCATGCCCAACCATTAAACCCACTATTCCCACAGGAGACCCTGAGGACACTAGACCCTGAGCTCTTGGAGGAGTTCCTGAGGGCAGCAGAGGGTATGGAAGCCTTCTGCACCGAGGCTCAGCTCAGAGACCTGGAGTTCTTCACGCAGTCGGTCCAGACGCAGTGGGAGGTAGGGGTAGCCCTACACTGTGCCCTGTGCTGGTCCTGCTATTGCAGTGTTCCCCAGTCCGGTCCTTGGGGACCCGGAACAAAAAATGTGGACTTTTCTAGCAAGCAGTTCAGAGGGAACAAAAAACATGGACCAACTGTGGGTCCCTGAGGACCAGATTGGGAAACACTGTGGTATAGCAACCAAGTGGAGTCAAAACTGCTGACGCCAAAGAGAACACGGGAAGGCTGCCCTGCTAACTGAATGGACCTTCTTGTGTCATCTCTGCATAAAGGCGCGAGTAGTGTCGGCAGGCAGAATGCCTGATTTTGTTAATTTCACTTCTTCGTGCATTCGTGTTGTGATGTTCTTAGCCTGGGCTTGTAACATCTAACCAGCAATAAATGAATTCAAGGGTGACGTACGTGAATAAATTTTACTGTCAGAAACACAGACATGTAGCCACAGAAATGAAAAACTATAAAAGGAGGCTGAGTAAGCATAGTCAATATTTTGCAATAGTCTAACTCTGCGGACTTCCTTCTGTAAGGGATCCACTTGCAGAGTCTCCACAGTTTCAGCAAAACGGTGGTTTATTGAACAGTAAAAAATAATATAATGTAATTCAGTGTAGACATCCACCGGGCTCAAATACAAATCAAGGACAGTTCTTCACCCCCCCTTGATACTCCTAACTATCTGTGTTCAAGTGATCAACCAAGAACATTGGGACATCTTTACTATTTTTCCTTACACTTCCTTAAATTTGAACCCTGGTGAAGTTTTTTGCATTACATTTTAGACATAGCTGCCTTTTGGAAGCCTGTGAGATATGAGTGGCTTAACACTGGCACTTTGAGATGCTAGATACACGTTAACAGAGCCCCAGCGCAGCCTCTCGACACTCTCACTAGCAACAGGTACCGTAAGTCCTCCTACTAACGTAGCTGCATGAGCAGTGCATGAGTGGCGTGAGGGCTGGATGTGAGCACCAAAGAGGCTGCAGAGGATGAGGTGGACCAAAAGGTAGCTAAGCAGCTTTGGGGAACAGGTTTGTGACCTAAAGGTTATATAGCCAGATCCAGGAAAGTTTTAGCAGTTTTTGGTTGGAGAAGATGATGCTGGGGGAAGGGGATGGCTGGTGGAGGTATTTTGGAGGAGGGAGCTTTAATAGGACCTCAGAGACGTGTGTTTTTCCCAGGCGTGTCTGTCTGCAGAGGGCAGCCTGGAGCAGGCCGGGCGGCACCTGGAAGCCCTGCGAGAGCTGTGTGACACCCTGAGCCCAGAAGATGCACACCGCCTGGCGCAGGCCCAGCTCCGGGAGTGCGAGAGGCGGCTGGCTGCCATCCAGCGCCAGTTCAGCGGGGACAGTGACACACCCTCTGCAGGCTTAGGGTGAGTATGTGAGATAGGAGAGGAGCAGAATGGGGCCAGTAACTGCACCCTGTTTAGCCTCAGCTAGTGATACCCCCAGAGTAGCCAGCAGGTGCCATGCGGGTCACAGAACCGGACTTGGAGCGATGGCGACAGGCTTAGCTTTTCCTTCTCGTGAACAAGAAACTTAAGCAAGGAATTTAAGCTTTCATATATGAATAGGCAAATCTTGGATAAATGGCTGTAACGGAATGTAAACAATGTAAGATGATGTTTCTTTTTGTAATAAATAAGGGAACACGGCAGTCACCTTTGTCTTTCATCACAAATACAATATCATTATGAGCCTTTTAGGAAAGCAGGGCATGTCAAGGCAACAAAAAAAGGCGAGAACCAGGGGAATTTGTGTCAAGGGGAGGCTGGAACTTGTTACACTCAGTTTTCTGAAAATAATTTATCAGATGCACGGTTGTTGCCTGCTTAGGTAGACACCAAGCGATCACCACAAGCTGAAAACATAAGGAGCATGCTTTCACCTTAAGGAGATATGGCTTTGAAGAGTCTCTTCGTAGCTCCAGGTTGAAGCCAGACATCTAGCAGTGTGGACTTCTTATTCCTAACTCTTATTTTCATTTATCAGGTTTCCCACAGCGCCCATGGAAAGCGACACGCAACAAAAAGTGTCTGTTCTGACGGCCAGTTCTCCATATAGCCCTGTCAGCTCAGAGGTACCATTACAAAATTCATTTTTAGTTAATTAAATTAATTTAGTTGGTATTTTTAAGAATGTTGTTGATTTAACTGTTGTGATATGACATTTTAAATTAACCTGATATCACTTTATAGATACAGTAACACTTAACAGGGCACAAATGCTTAGTAATAACTCAGTTTCTACTGAAGTATAAATCATGAACAAATATAGTCTACTTGAGATAAATGACACACCACGATTTATTAAACAGTAGTTCCTTACTTCCTTCAGTAGTTCACAAAGGTTTACAGAATTGGCATATAATCACAAATATAGTAACTGTTTGTGATGAAAGGTGCATCATGATTGATTAATGAGATCAGTATTTAACTTGTGTTATTCATGTCTTGTTCCTTCAGTAGTTCCTTCAGTAGTTCACAACGGTTTACAGAATTAAATATGGTAAGAAACATAGTATCTGCTTGAGAGAAAACATGCGTCACGATTCATTAATGATGAAGGAACATGAGATCGGTATATAACTAAGACTTAACTTGTGGTTAATATACAGGTAACAGCATAATACCATATTATTTGTGCCTTGTCAAGTACAGTGTTAACATAGTTACTATCTGCTCATGCTTAGATGTGAGTAAACTTGAAATTGCTTCTGCGTTATTTTTTCAGATGACTGTTGGTTTAGCAAGCTTTGAACAGAGGCAACCGACTGAGAAGCTGGTTTCCAAACAGGAAATGCTGAACAAGTAGGATTCATTTCTGCTCTGTGACAAGAATGTAACTCGTATAACTTCTGTAGATGGTAGAATCAGTGTCGTCAGTGGTGTGTGAAGTGAGTCAGATAGCTAAGGTGTGTCTTCCCCAGCTATCGGGCTTCCAGGACCACACTCCAGGCTCAGCTGGCTAAAGTCCAGCAGCGTATGTGGGCGGAGCTTACCCCAGGTCCCGCCTCCTTAGCTGGCTTGCACTGCCTGCTGCAAGAAGTACAGGTGTGTTCTCTCCCCTCTGTTATGACTACCTTCGCTATATCATATATACTGAACCAAATGAATTTGTCTTCATTTCAGCCAAGAATTTAGATTTTTTTTTTCCATGTGTGAGTGGTCATTTAGTGAGTATAATTTTTTATGTGGGGGAAAAAATTATTTGATTGATTGAGTTCAGCTGGCATGAATGTCACCAATAGACTGAACCACTTGCTCAGGTGTCTGCAGATAGCTGGTTGCAATGAGAGGTTAGAACCAAGTCAGACAGTGGTGGCGAACTTTAGAGTACAGCCATACCGATACACGACTTTCTGATACCAGTACTGACTTTGATATTTGGAGATTTAAAAATCTGATGTCTTGGCCAATATTAATTTCTTTCCAGAAACGTAAACATAGATTTTCCCTAACATTTGTTATGTGTAGTTATTTAAAAGTCCTCACCAAGATAACATGACATAAGGCAGTTTAAAAATAAGCTTATTTATTTTCATAAATAATACTTTGAACAAAAGTACAATGAAATATATAAAAGTTTTGATAAATAAGAGCCAAATGTATAAAAACACAAATGTGTATTGCCAACAGGGGAGTTGCAGTGTGCCCTCTGGTGGACAAACTACACAACGACAGCACTCAAAGCATGGTTGACGGATCCTAATTCCGTCTCTCCATTTCTTTTTAATTGTTGTTTATTGGCCATTATAAACACCAGTACTGATTTATCTGCAATTAGCTCATATCTGCTGATAATATCTTCATGTTGATTCATCAGTCGGGCTCTAGTTTAGAGAATTAAATGCAAACTATGGACATGACCTAAGTCACTGCTGCAGTAACAGTATGCACATTCTGCCATGTATGGCAATGTCTGTAAGTTTTGACAATGATTAATTAACTTTGCTTTCTCCTGCTGCAGAATCTGAAACAAGAGACAGAAGAGCTCTGGGCGGATTTCAAACTCCAGTCATCCCATTGTTCCCAGTTAAAAGAGGAGGGGCCTGCCCTGGAACAGGACCTGCATCAGCTGGTGCAGCAATGGGAGAAGCCAAAGATTGTTCTTAAGGAGAGGTATGGACTGGGAGCATGTCAGCTGGGGCACACTAAGAGCTACTTCCCCTAGTGTCTTGCCTTTAAGTGTCTCAAGTAACACAGACATGTCCCGATGTAGAATGAAGTCTCTGAAGGTGGCCCTGGGACTGCTCGACTCAGTGGAGGGCCAATTCAAGCACATCGCTGAACGTCTCCACCACTTCATAGGGAGACCCAGGGACATCAGTGCTCTGAGGCTGCCTGATGATAACTCCCTGCAGGAAGCGAAGGTGCCTCCTTGAAGTGAAACCAGGAAAACTGTTCAATGGCTTGACGTTCTGATCAGCCTGGATTTCATGTTGATAAATGACCTGTTTCCCTCCGAACAGGAACTGCAGGAGAGCATTCAGCATGAGATGGATCAACTATCAAGTTTGCATCGTGACGGGGGACAAGCACTTCACAGCTTATATCCCCCGGACCGACGCCCCGTAACTTTCCTGGCAAAAGGATTCAGGCAGAGTCTGGACCAGCTGAGGCAGCGGGTGAGGCAGTGTGAGGCGGCCATCCGGGCTTTGGACTGCTTTCTTGTGTCACTCCATGCTCTGGACCAGGACATCGGCACTGTGTGGACATGTCTCAGCGATGACGCGGCCATTATACAGGACTGTCGGGCTCGACTGGCCGTGCTTCGGCAGAATGTGCAGGGCGTGGGGGCCAAGGCGCCCGAGCTGGACCAGCTTCTGCAGGGGGCCCTTATGGTATTGAACCCGGCCAGCTGTGCGGACACCGTAGCAGCACTGCAACGGAGGCTGGAGGAGGCAGACACAAATCTGGCCAGGAGACATCAGGATCTGCAGCGGGAGCACGAGCGACGGGCCCTGGGGCTGAGGAGGAGGACCCTAAAGGGGGCGCTGTATGAGGTGCAAGCCGCGGCTGAGCGCCACGGCCTGAAGGAGCCCACGATGCCAGCTGTGCAGCAGAGGTGTGTGATTGGCTCGAGGTAGCTATAAACAAATCCCTGTACAAAGGCAGGGCCATGGCTGTAAACTGAAGGTCATGCATAGTTTCAGATTTCACCCTTCCCATTTTTAGTAAGCACCTGTGCAGTGAGATTTGCAGTGATCATAAGCTGATCCCCTCAAGGATCAGTCACGAGGCAGTGCACGCCATGGAAGCATTGTTACGTTACTGTCATGTTTTTATAACTGTGTAAGGGTTGTATTTTCTCTCACCATTGTTTGATGAGCGTTTCCAAATTCTCTGAGGGAACTTGCAGTCACATGAGGCTAATGTAAGAGTAACTCAAGATCAATCCCGGCTGGCAGGATGCGGGCCCTGACTGACTTGGAGAACCTGTTGGCTGCATATCAATCCGAGCTGCAGAGCCTGCGAGATGCATCTGCGCAGCTGACGCCCAGAGTTGATCAGGAGGGCTATGATCCCATGGAGGAATTGGAGATTCAGTGGAAAGACTCAAGGAGAGCAGTGATGGAACGGTGAGTGTATAATAGGAGGTAGACGGCGTCACAAGGAGCTCATTTTTCAGAGGTGAAGACAGACTGGTTAGTGCACTGAGACATGAATATCATACCTGTACTATCCAGCTGAGCAGGCAGCTTAGCTGAAGCTACTCTCTAACTTGCTCAGGCAGGAGCAGTGCCGTGTACTGATGGATCTCCTGAAGAAGTTCCAGAGTTGTCGCAGTCGCCTGGGCAACACCCTTCAGAGGGCGGAGCAAACCATCAGCGAGCAGGCCTCCTACATGGGCAAGGACAACCTGCAGCGTCTTATCGCCACGGTACTGGCTGGTGTGGTGATGACCTGGCAGACAGTATGCTGTGGTGTGAACAGAGTTTTCGGTAAAATTGCAATATGTTTTATTCAGCACTGGATGGCAGTGTTTCTAACCTGGACACAGATGGCATAGCCTTGCCATTGCTTTGCATTAAAGGTGTTATGCATAATCAATACACAAGAGATTACAATATTAAAAGCAGCTGTGCACACTAGGAACTTATGGTCAGTTCTCCAAGAGCAACAGTACCTGATAAAATAGCATCCTGGTCTTAACAGTCTCCATTTTCCTAGTGCTACCTTTCAGAATGCTTTGCTACTTCAGATTTTGTTGTGTGAGAGTCTGTATATCTTTTACCTAGGTGCATGGTATCAAAGAGGACCTGGGGGCCCTTGGGGAGGGGGTGGAGGAGATTCGGGGGGTTTGCAGACAGCTGCAGTGTCATCTGAAGAAAATACCTGACTGTGCAGACGCCCCCTATGAGAGCGAGGCCAATGCACTGGTGGATCGCTGGTTGGATGTAGGTGATTTCCTTACCTCTGATTGAGTATGAAACACATTTGCTATGCTTTATGCATTCTCCAGCGGAAAGTGGAGAGTTTGCATTGGTCCACTTCAATGGCAGATTGATTATTACAGCTCTGTGGTTTCAGGTGTCAGAAAAGACGGACACACACATGGACAACCTACGGGTGGCATTGGAACTTTGGGACAAACTGCTCCTGATTGGGAGTGAGGTGGACAACTGGATGGGGAGCAAATTAGCCATGTTTGCAGAGTCACAGCCCTTTCAGAATGAGCAGGATGTCATAACCATGCAGGTAACTCGCTGCATGCCTCTGTAGTTGGGAGTCTGGCATGATTATTCAGCTTGAAATGAATAAGTTGGCTAATAAAAGGCTTTTGATGTTGTTCCCCACAAGAGGCTCTCACTTAAACTCAAAGCGACAGGTATTTTAGGAACTGAAGCGACTTGGATTGATAACTGGTTAACGGATAGGAAGCAGCGAGTAGTTATAAGAGGCTCGATGTCACAGTGGGCCTGCGTTCATAGTGGGGTACC